CTACCACTGTGTATCTGCTCAGGTATGAAGAATAGAAACAAATCCTAACGGGGCAAGTTAAATATGCACATAACACCTTCTTCCATGACATAACCGAATATTTTCTGAAAATGTTACTTGACCCCTTCTTCCACTTGTCCCTTCAATTACATCTGATATACAGGGTGTATCTAAATAACACCGAAAAAATTGAAGGGGTGATTCCTTGTGATATTTTAGGAAATAAAGTTCATATAAACATGTGCCCTAACTTGCTTCGTTTTCGATATACAGGGTATTAATATTTCCATGAAAAATATTTATTCTATTCATTTCTCAATTGTCTTTTCATCAATTTCAATAAAACGTTGTGGTTTTGTTGATTGTGATATGGAGCTTCTTCTAGTGCAATTAGATTCGAAATAATATTCCCAGTGGCGTCACAGTGGGTACATTCAACGATATTCATGGTGAATGTCATTGTATGTACACCATCGGTTTTTCTGAGTTTCATATTTTTATTAGATTAAACTATTGAAATAACAACTTTTGTATCCTCTGTGATTTTTGTATCTAGCTTAATTTTTGAGGAAACAATAAAAATTCGATTTGACTCCAAATTTCAATGTAGGTATATTAAAGACCAATTAGAATCATTCTGAAATTTTGGGTCTTTCTCAGTCTCCATCCATATTGAATTTTGGCACCATGAAAGCTCATACAGGGGGGTTATAAATAAAAACAATTAATACTTCCAACTTCAACGGAGCAAGTTAGGACACAGGTTCATATGAACTTTATTTGCTAGAATATCACAAGGAAACCCCTTGAATTTTTTCGGTGATATTTAGATACACCCTGTATAAAATTCTCCCTGTCCCTGTCAAGGTGGTAAGGGCCAAACTCCTCGGAAACGGCTCCACCGATTCGTATAAAAATTTTATGTGAGTATTCGGTAGGTATGAGAATCGTTTCTAAGTCATTTTTTTAATTGAGAATTTAAGATGGCGGATCCAATGTGGCGGACGATATTTTTAATCCGATTTTACTCAAAATTGGTATCTGGGGGTTTTCAGGGTCAGAGATTAGAATTCTTTCATCAAAACTTTGAAATTCAAGATAGCAGATCCAATATGGTAAGTTCGATTCTATTCAAAATAACTGGGAATTTTCGGGGTCGGAGATTATGATTCCTTCGTCAAAATTAGTAAATTCAAAATGGCGGATCCAATATAGCGAACGCGTTTTTTAATTATAATCCGATTTTATTCAAAATTGGCATCTGGAAGTATTCGGAGTCGGAGATTATGATTCAACATGGCGAATCCAATATGACGGACGAGTTTTGTAATTATGATCAGATTCTATTCCGAATTTGTATCTGGGGGTTTCCGGAGTCAGAGCTTATGATTTTTTTTTTCAAAATTGGAAAATTCAAGATGGCGGATCCAATATGGCAAACGAACTTTGTAATAAATAGTAGTTTGGAAAACTATAATGAGACACTCTTTTATAGATAGCCAATCTCGAGGCCAAACTGAAAAGAAGTAAAAAATTGATAGTATAGTTCAAAAAACGAGATAGATGCTTTTATAGATTGCCAAACTAAAAAGAAGTAAGTAGAAAATAAATAGTTTGAAAAAATGAAGATATAGATTGCTGAAGTAAGAAGAAGTAGAAAATAAATAGAATAGTTTGAAAAAGTGAAGAAACATGCTTTTATAGAAAAACAAACTAAAAAGAATTAGAAAATAAAATAATAAAACTTTGTTGATAAATATTCAATTCTAAAAATAATGTTTATGACAAAACAACGTTTGCCGGGTCAACTAGTATATATATGTATTTCATATTTTACCTCTTTCACATAAGTTAGTGACCTGTGTGTGAAAGAGATGAATTATTTCATGTATAAAAATGTTTTTCAAAAAAATAAATACTTGAATTGAATACAAATAATCAATTCACACAATGATAAGAATAAAATCAAAAGAAAGAAAAAGAGTTGACTAAAAAAGCAACCACTTTTTTTTTCTATAAGCCATCTTTCAAACTTTTTTATAAGCTATAATATTTAGTTATTTTAATTTAGATAGTATTTCTTTTTGAATTATAGATCCAATATCCAATAAAACCAGATTGTTTTTCCAAAATTGTAAGCTTATGTTTTTCAATTCATACATTGTTGATTTTGTTTCTTGTATCATAACTATGATTGATTTTCTTTGTAATTGCTGGATTCTTTTCAATAAACATTATTGGCACCTTTTAGAATAATTGCCTAACATTCAATATATTATTTTCTAAAAATATTGAGGCTAATGGATAATCAAATGATTTAAGTAATATTACTTTCAAAACATATTTTTACATACAATAACAAAGGTTATAGATGATAGATGAAATAATAATAATGTTTTTTCCTTCAAATTTTCATTTCAAAATGAATGTATGCAATTATTTGCAAATTTATGCTTATTATCTTTAGCACAACTTTTTCCTACCCCTAAAATAATATTCAGCATACTCAATGAAAATTAAAACAAAACATGGAAATTAGAGGAAATAGTTTTGAATTATATACAAAATAGGAAGTAGACCATATACCACAGCATCTCAATTTCTTGATAGGAAATTGTAAGATCTTAATGACAAAATGAAAATATAATGTTTTAGGAGTTACTGTGGGAGCTACTTAGAAATGAGAAAGCAGTGGGTTTCTATGTGTGCCATTATTTTCACATTTTTCTGAAGGAAATAAAATGTTCATGGATGTCCATTTTAGACATCTGTATGGATTTACATTTTTTCCATACTTACATCAAATAATTCCTCTCTTCCATACACAAGTCACTAATAATATACATTTCAAAAAAACATTCTTAATGTTATTTGTTGAATGACAAAATATTTATAGTAACTTGATTGAACACATAAATAAATTAATAAACAAATTGAAATGGAACATAATGACCCAAAAAGTGTATTGCAACATATCCCAATGAAAGCAGATCATATTATTTGCATAATCAGTTTGAATCAGAAACAATGAAACTTAAATCATAACAAAGTGAAGAATAAATATGAATTTTGTGAACTCAAATTATACACTGAGGAAATACTGAATTCTCAGATATGCTTGTAAACTACAGTTGTAGGGCAGTCTTTTATCTATAGTTGTGGTACATTTTAGATGTAAATGTACATTTTGCATAACAGTAAAGTGATACTTTACCTTGATGACCTCCACCAGAACCTCTACTCTCATTAACATCAATGGAATCCAATATACTATTCACTTGATCTCTTATATTTCTGAGCTGTTTCTTCAAACTAGTTACTTCAGTCCTGGATAATGCATTTGCAGAATCATTTTTCATGTCAGAGTTCAATAAAATTTGTAGCTTGAGTATCCTGCTGCACTGGATTGCAAAGGACAAGTCATTACTCTCAAATATTGTAATTAGATCACCATCTGGAAAATACATGAATAATAATTGAGTTTATCAATGGCATCTGGCAAGACAAAGAATGTGAAACTAATGAGATAATCTAATTGTAAATACAGACGTTGATAGTACCTTCATCTTTGTATTTTATAGTGATGTCATCATTAGCTGTTAATTTACCCCTAAACACCCTTTGCATCATTAAAACAAGCTCATCATAAGTGAGAGATTCGTTGTGTATTGGAATTCGTCTAATATCATCTCCCAGTTGCACTTTAATAATTAATTTACCACTCAAGTCCAAATCACTTTTCATATCCATCTTGCACTGAAATATTCATTCTGTTACCAATATTTAGAGCAATACGAAGGTACTTACATTGTCATTAAAGTATTATTTGCCAAAAAACGGCAAATTTACTTCAATTCAATATTAGCTGGAAAAGGTGATTGATATGATTAAAAATGGACAAAAACACAAATAGCCGCACAACGTCAAGTTTTTCATTCGCTGTCAAAAATGTTCCCGGCAGTTTGTTGTCAACATGACATAAAATAAGAAGTGAAGTACCTCAAATCGTTAAAGAACATAGAACTTATAGAATGGAGGTATGACACAACCACAAACTGTTATAAAAAAAGACGAAGAAGAAACATAGTTTTAAAGATGGCTGTCAATGGTTTCCAGAAAGATCATGGGTTTCCGGTTGCCAGTGGCGTACTATTAAAAGCTAAAAGTACAAAATTAATTAATTTATTTTGTTGTATAATTTCGAAAACTATGAAATACTAGCTAAATAAATATCAACGATCATTAGACTCCATTTCCAATAGAACTGAATCAGTGTATCAACGATCATTAGATTCCATTTCCAATAGTGCCCCCTTCCCCCCTTACGAGCAACGAGCAACCCTCGAAGTCTTCGAGAGTCTTGTGCGAGCAGAAAATGACGGGGGCCTTACCTTTCAACGTGTGATCCCAAACACATTCTTGGGCCATCAGAAAAATTTCTGCAGTCGACGGGAATCGAACCCACGACCTACAAGCGAATGCGGATTAGAATATGGACACTCTGTCCGCACGGCTACCTGGCCCCTGATACTACATACAATGATGATTCAAGAACTGGAAACATTCTTTATTGAAATAATTTACTATAAGGAAAATTGAGAACAAAAATAAGTATAATATTCGGCCGAGATTCGCTCCCGATCCTGAAGGAAAACCTCACTCAAATAGCGAACCACTATCGACTCCAACAGTATTTTCTTCAATTGATCACTCCAATCCTTGGTACAAGTTTCGATCCTGGAACCTCTTTGGCCACCATGTTCCCTCCGAATTAACTCACAAAACAGATTCATAGAGGAATGATAATCCTCATCACACAGATTATTCGTTGCATCGCATCCGTATGGCACCAAGAAGAACCATTTCGGGTGCTTCCGCATAGATTATTGATTGCGCCCTGTCTGTAGATGAATCAATTCCGGTAGTATTGAATCCGTGCATTTTTTTGCGCAGAAGAATAAAACGTCAATGTCAAGGCACTGAATAGCAAAAAATCTGAAGGACACCTTCCATGCAGTAATGAATTTGCGCCTTCGAAGTGCCCACCTGATGTTAGGTTAGATATGTCATTTTCATTTCATCTAAATACTTCAAGACATAGGAGTCCCAGAAGACGCATTCTAATAATTAATATCTAAGGTACCGACGTATAGAGTTTCATGTCTGATTGTTGTATATTTCGTGTCCAACAATCATGTCAGAGATTTTTCACCTGATGTATTTTTTTATGAAAAGCTTGATAGAGAATCCTATGCCTTTTCTAATACATTCAAAAATATGTATACAAAGTTTCATGATAACCAGTTGAGTAATTTTGGCGTGAAAACATGACAAACAAACTTATACCTGTTTATACATTCACATTTATAATATTAGTAGGGATTGAGGAGTATTCAATACTTCATCTTTGGACCACGGGTTTATGACTCAATCCAGAAATCACAAGATCCGGATATATCCTTTATCTAGAGGATCTTATCCAACTGGAAATGTTTCAATTTATTTTCTTATTCTTTCGTGAATATCACAAAACTCTTACAGTAATACCACATCAAAAAATCTAAGACTATAAAAATTATTATGAATGTCAATGATTAGTATGAATCATTTTCCTCTTCGAAAATCATCACTCAATCCTCCTCTTCTTCACTATCGATCCCAACTGAAAAGCAAGAAACACACATCATATTGAAAAATAGCCACATCAGAAAAATATCCTCACCAAATCCGAAATTGCGGGCAAGTTATTCGTCTGGTCACCGGCCCCTGTATTTGTGGGCTCTGGTACAGTCGGTTTGGGCCCCTTAATGTTTCTGTGATGAGGGAAGGTCGGCATCAATTTCGGATCACATGCTGAAAGAGACGCAAAAAAATATTGCTAAAGGTTTCTAGGATTGGATTGATGAGTGTTCTTGAGATAACTGGAACCTTCTGCTTTTGTTCTACTAAACATAGAATATGTTAGAATGTTTGGGTAACTGTAGGGCTCTTTTTTAATTAGTTCAAGTTTATTCTCAGGATTTATTGTAATATGAACAAAATACGAATTCCTAACTCCTGGCTTAGATTGAAAGTTAGACATGTTTTCCCGTCGTATTTATGTCATCGCAATGTCAGATGATGACGTTGGCTACCGCGAATAGAAATACAATGATTCTGACAGTCGCGTCGATTTTTTTCACATTTGACACCTCTGCAGCTAACCCCAAAATACGGAATACCTAACCATTGTCTGCTCTGTAGCTCAGTTGAGTGTATTACCACCAGAGGATGTTACCGTATCGGACGAAATGATCTTCACTTTTTTCTAGAAAATTTCCGAAATTTGTGGTTATGTAAGTTGTCAGTGTCAAGAGCTGTCGTGCCATCGTGACTTGTATTGTATTTTTTTCCTAAAAAAATCGTTCTTCTTCAATTCTCTTTGTTCTTATGGTCCTTTCGTTTATAGATATAGTTTTGTGTTGTGCTCCCAGTATTAAAGTAATTTATTCTGATTGATAATTTGTTACAAACTCTGTCTCTCAATTGTGCCTACCAGAAAGAGTGAAACCGTTTCCATTGATGGATTACAAGTAAGATAATCAGAGCCCTGATCAAAAGCTAATAATCGATACTACTGATTCTACCTCTCATTTAATTTAGGTGATGAATGATAAGAAATTGGGGACTATTGTAGTGTCTGTAGCAACCATTTTGAGAAGAAATGATTTTTTGAATTTTTGAGTTACTGAGTGACTATGTCGTGATACTGAACTCAAAATCATTGCACAAACTTCGCCGCCAGCCGAGACTGCCGAGAGCACCGTTGAAGGAGCTGCTCAACTCGTTTATGATCTTCAAGGTTATGTAGGTTTGACAGGAAAACAATTGAAATAAGTGTTTCCTCGAGTTGACCGTATGGCGGCACTACTGTATCGGCTACAGAAACCTGTAGGTGATTTTCCTTGTTTGAACAGACCAGATACTCCAGCTCACTAGATTTTTCCTTCATATTCAGCAGACAATGACATAAAGCTTGAAAACATGGTCATTTGATAGAATGTAATTGATCTTGAAAAAAATTATAAATGATGGAAAGAAGAGGCCCCAGAAGAGATCCCTGAGGAATGCCACCAATAAACCTGGATGTTTCTCGAGATACTCACGCTGAGGTGGTTCTTTGAAGTAGCTGCTCTGCAGACATTCCTCGGCGGTGGCCCTCTTGCGGGGATCATACATGAACAGGAAATTCAAGAGACGGAGCCCTGCGGCCGACAGCCAAGGGAAACGCTGTTTCAGATTGTTGTAGGGCTGCTGTTTCAACGTGTAGTTTTGCAAGGCGGGAAGTTCGCTGAAACCTGGCCAAATCGCATCAGATGGTGTACCTGAAAAAACAAAAAACAAAACCATGGGCGTTGGTGTTGGACGATTCTTTTCATGAAGGGACTGAAATAATAAAAAATAATCATAATAATAACATTTATTGATCCCAAGCAACATACAATGTTTATAGAGGGAAACAAAATAAAAATAAAATGAAATTAAAAATGCAATACAATGAAAGATAAACAGTTCAATCAGAATTAATTGATACAAGGAGAGAGTTAAATTGATAAAATATATTTCTTCAGTTCACACTTAAATTTTGTGACGAATCTAATAGATTTTATTCTGTTGGGTAGACTATTAAAAATATTTATTCCACAAAAATACAATGATTTTTTCCCGAATTGGGTTTTTATTTTGACAGTTTTCAAATGTTCACTTTGTTTGGTGTGATGCTCATGGGTATCAGAATTGAAGATTCGAGTGCTTCTTCTTATTTTTAGTGAAATGAATGAAAATGCATACTTTCATTTTGAAGAGAGAGTCAATATCTAGTAAATGACGAAATATTTCTGGGAGAACAATTTTGAGGGGATCTAAAATGAATCAGATATTATGATAAAATGGGCACACATGGTGGCTTCAGGGGAGTACCCATTGTAGTTTCTGAGGGATCATGGATAAATAAATATACAGACTATGAAATTGAACTAATACCATCCAAAAAACTGACATTGTCACTTCAAGGATGTCTCTAGTTTTTTTTAGTGAGTCTGAGATCTAAAAATTGGAATTTTATTCACCGCGATTCCAGTGAAGTACACATTTTTTGAAGGAATCTAAAATATTGAATTGAATTTTGGAGAATTATTCAATATCGTCATTATCGTCTGACTGAGAAAACTCATAGTTGCGACTTCAGTCAGTCAGTATATTTTGCGAGGTGATCATCTGGAAACAAAAAGTATAAAGAGAATTGAATTGAGATTGTAGGAACATATCTAATATTTATTTTCAATATACAATGAAAAGAAAAGCATAATTATAGATCTAAAATAAGTCATTATTTGGACCTTATACAGGGTAACTCACGGTCGATGGTACGTTAGACGTTTATGGAGAACGGGACATAGGATCATTCTGAAATTTTGATTACTCACGTAGTTGCTCTTGGTCTATCGATCTAAAATATTTTCAGCTCTGCAGCGTTGCCGCTTCTATCGAAAAGTAGCAACAACTTTGTTATTTTAAATGGAAAACCCTGTATTTTATTGCAATTTCAGATTCTCTCTGAAGAGCTGATTTCATCTATGTATCACACTTGGGGTCTAGCGGAAATGATTACAGAGATATAGGGTGTGAAAAATCGACATTTTTCAATTTTAGGATTTTTTTTTGTCGAAACTATTCATTATTGGTCAAAACGGCTCACATGTCCCTATCTCAACTTTTGATCAACTATCTACTCTGACATTTAATTGAAACAAATACAGGGTCGTGCAGAATTCAGAATCTTGATCACCCGGTATATATCCCAATTAAATATCAGTAGATAGTTTATCAAAAGTTGAGATAGGGACATGTAAGCCGTTTTGACCAATAATGAATAGTTTCGTCAAAAAAAATTCCTGAAGTTGAAAAATGACGATTTTTTACACCCTATATCTCTGTAATCATTTCCGCTAGACTCCAAGTGTGATACATCGATGAAATCAGCTCTTCAGAGAGAATCTGAAAATGCAATAAAATACAGGGTGTTCCATTTAAAATAACAAAGTTGTTGCTACTTTTCGATAGAAGCGGCAACGCCGCAGAGCAGAAAATATTTTAGATCGATAGACCAAGAGCAACTACGTGAGTAACCAAAATTTCAGAATGATCCTATGTCCCGTTCTCTATAAACGTCTAACGTACCATCGACCGTGAGTAATAGTTGGAATTTTGGTTATTACGATTCCAGTGCCGTACCCATTATTTCATAGGAACTATTAAAAAATATGGATTCTGAAATGTTTATTGAACATCATAGTTGCGATTTCAGTGGCGTACCTGTAAGATTTTAGGAATGTTTTAAGCATATACTTTTTTCGGAAAGGGTCATAAATTAGGAATTACTGAATCTCTGTATATTATGTTGATTTAAAATAATAATTATGATTCCATTGACGGACTCACTTGTTTCATCAGGGTTAAAAATGAAAAATGGTGGAATTTCAAAATATCTTTGATTTGTGATAGAAAATAAGCGTACGCCACCTATCGGAGTTCTCGAAAGCTGTTGAAGCGGCCTGTTTACTTGTGGACCTTAGATTCATGGATAATTAAAATAGCGACCTCTGGATAGTGATAGTTGAAATTTCGTTTAATACGATTCCAGTGCCGTACCCATTATAGGAACTATTAAAATTTGGATTCTGAAATATTTATTGAGCATCATAGTTGCGATTTCAGTGGCGTACCTAAAATATTTCCAAAGGGGTCCAAAATTCAAAAAGTAAATAATGAATCTAATTAAGATTTTAGGAATGTTTTTATGAAGGAAACAATAAAATACCAGAAAATTAGAGGGTGTCTGAAATGAGTCAAATATCTGAATAGAGATAATGACTTTAAGAATATACTTTTTTTTAAAGGGTCATAAATTGGGAACTACTGAATTTCTTCATATGTTGATTTAAAATAATAACGGTGATTCCATTGGCAGACTCACTTCTTTTAACAGGGTTAAAAATGAAAAAAAGGTGGAATTTCAAAATATCTTTGATTTGTGATAGAAAATAAGCATACACCACCTATGGGAGTTCTTGAAAGCTGTCATGTTTACTTAGTTTCCATTGGTTTACATTTGTTTTTTGTTTGTGCTCATTGGTCACATTTTCAAAACAAACGGTTCAAATTGTTGCCGTCAGGTGGAAAGAGACATGTTATTTATGTAATCCATTATCAAATAGAAATTGTGACTCAGGGGTATACCTGATCAATTCATCAAAAATCAAGACTTCTACTTCAGAGGTGTACATATTCATCATCATCATTGTGTGCGTGATCCGGCTCGAAGGACCACTATGTGTGCGTTTGCACTAGGTTTCGGAGTTTGGCACTGGTTTGAAACCGTTTTTCTCTTTTAAAATATCAGCACAGACAAGACAGATGTTTGAGTTTTTTACTGACATTCAACAACCTTCAATCACAACAAAATTATACAGAATGATGAAATTATATATGAATCAACTTTATTCCAAAGAATATGAACTTTCCACAGGAACAATTATCATCTTTATTATACCCAAGAAACAATTGTTATGTATAATAATATTATTATAATGTTTATGAAGGGGAACATTGAAAAATGAACCATAATGTATTACATTACATTCAAAATGTAGTAGGTATAGGTATAATAATTATTCTAGTAATTCTCAGAGTTTGAGCTGATCCTTGTTGTTTGAGTGAATGAATGATTAAAATAATTGATTTTAAAATTAAAATTGGAATGTTTATAAATGTGTTTGACTGGATGAATGAATGTTAATATTTTGAATTTATATATCAATTGAAGATCTAATATTTCATTTGGCTTATAAAGGTTTCTTGTTGGTTCCAAATAATCCAATTTGTATATACATTAGCCAACTTTATTCTGAAGGATTCTAAGTGGTTTAATAATTGATAAACTAGCTGTAGCCCAAACAGATATCAAATATTGAATTTTAGAATGAATTAAGGAAAAATAGATAAGTTTTAGATAATTCAAAGAAATTTCATGTCTAATTCTGTAAAGAACTCCTATTATTGGTGATATTTTTTTCCAATCTCTCCAATATCTTTGGACCATGATAAATTTTGACCAATGATTAAAGGGTGAAAAATTAAAAAAAAACATTGCAGTTTCTTCAAATCCATCTGAAAAAAAAATGCTGCCCCAAGGATGTCTAGGCAGATCCACCAATTTTTCCAACATAAAATTCATAATTCAATCAAAATAAACATCTCCTTACCTAACAGATCTACAATGAGTTCAAGCTGTTGAATTTCTGATCTTCCAGGTAGAAGAGGCTTGTGCCCCAATAGCTCCCCCAAAATGCACCCAGCAGCCCACATATCAACACTGGTAGTTTGAGTAGGAGCCTGCAGGAGCAGTTCTGGAGCCCTATACCATAAGGTCACTACATGTGGAGTCATTGGTTTGAGAGGGACTCCAAACCATCTAGCCAAACCAAAATCAGCTGGAAAATTAGCAAGGTTTGTATTGCAGAAGGTATGGGGCTGATTTGAATGAACTCACCTATTTTGACACATCCTTTGTCAGTCATCAGTAGATTGGATACTTTGAGATCTCTGTGGACAACAAAGTTGTGATGCAGGTACCTCAGTCCTCTCAATACTTGGAGCATTATACATTTCACTTGTGACTCAGTGAAAGGTGCCTGCATGTTGTCTAGCAATGAAGCCAAATCTTGTTCACAATATTCCATGGACAGAAAAATACTGAAAATGGCACTTTAACAACAATTTCCAAATTTGTATTCTAGATATACCTTTCTAAACTTCTTCCAACAACAACCTCTTTCAAGTGCACTATATTTTCATGTCTGCAATTTAATAATACTTGGATTTCACGTAAGCTGCTTACTGGTATACCATCTCTTTCCAAGTCCATTCGAACTTTTTTCAAAGCTACTATTTTCTCTGAAACAGTATCTTTTGCTCTATCTGAAAATTTTTGAAGGTAACACAAATTTTTGGTGAAAGCTTCAAAGCTACTCACAAACAATGCCATATGTTCCTTCACCGATTCTGTTTAGCTTCTCAAATTCAGAAACAAACCTACAACGTCCCAGCTAAAAAAACATAGATAATACAAAGATATTGTTGTGCCAGAAAGGAGTTACAAATCCAATTAGTCTATTAAACTTACAACATCAGCTTCTGGGATATTCATTGTTTTGCCAGTCTGGAATGATGTGAGTATTCCCTTTTTAGTGATTGGAGCTGATGGCTCCGCACCATTTTCTATTTCCTTGGTTTTCATGGGGGCTGAAATATTGGGTTATGTTCGAAAAAACAGCATTGTACTTCTTTTACTAAATGGCACAACTTACATCTTTTTAAAACGTCCACACTCATAATACTTTAGTAATAGTAGTAGTATTTATGAAATCTTAAAAAATATTTCTTCTTGATAATTCGCCGTTTTCAATATCAACAAAAACTACAAAAAGATCAAAACTAAAACTGCAAATGCAAAACAGACAATTGACATTGACAATATTGACATACAGACACAGGACGCAGAAGAAACACTGAACTATAACCCTACAAGTTATGTAGGGTTACAGTTCAGTGAGAAGAAATCAGAAGAAAGAGAAAAACAAAATGTCAATGTGTATCTTGTTGTTCTGAGCGTTCTTAGAGTTCTAAGTTGAGTTCTGTGTCAAAGATAAGACTGATAAGAGGTTGAGTGACAGAAAAAAAAGTGGGGTTAGGGTTAGGTTAGATTTTTAGAGAAGTTGCAGACGTCGGAAAGGGTACCGTGTTCATAAAAATTAAAAAATATTAGTTTCCTTCTGTAAAATATCCTGGAAAACTCACAAATATGTTTCCTGGTTGTATTCGATCGGCCTGTAAAACAAATATCTTATCCAAAGTAAGAATATCACACATTATTGATTGATTTTGTGACATAATTTGAATACTTGAAGGACTAGTCAAATAAGCTCCAGCACAAGGTTAAATTGAAGTCATTTGAAGAAAAAAAATTGGTAGATGAAATGGCAAAGAGGGTGTCTAACTTTGTAAATGTAAAGACAATAATTTATAATAAATACTAATAATACTATTGTGCATGTTATAAGATTTTGTCCTTTTTTCTGATTTTGGTATTTTTATTTTCAGAAAACTTTAGGTGTCTTTTTAAAAAATACTTATGCCAGTGAAGCAACTTTTGAAACAAAAGTAAGTAATAAATCTACTCAAATTTCGGATTTAGGTTCATATTAGATTCTCAACTATATTTGAAGATATAAAGCTATAAAGCACTTGAAATTAGTTGAAATCAATAAAAAGATACATTATCAACTTTTTTGTTTTCTTTGTATCCTCTGAATGAATGAATATCTATTGTGTGATATGTATACACAGTATACAATAACCATAAATCAAGCAAAATGAATTAGAATCTGATTATATAACACAAACACTACTTTGCAGCCATGTAGGTTACACAAACTTGATCAATCCCCTTCTACAACAGTCACCTTGACAAAAGAGGATGCCATCAAGCTGTACACCCAATTACATACCATTAGGCGTATGGAAACCTCAGCTGGGAACCTTTACAAGGACAAAACCATAAGAGGATTCTGTCATCTTTACTCTGGTCAGGTAAATGTATAATGGGTATATATACTCTGAAATTTTTGTTTTACACCAATTTTGAACAAGTTTCATTCTTCTAATGCCATTCAGTATCACTAGTAAGTACACCCTATGAGTGACTTATGAAATATAAAAAGAGGATCTATGTATCTCAAGTTATATTATTAAAAAAATGGTCATTTTTTCATTCGACTCAATTTTCATTCAATATGCTTCATTTTCATCAATACTTATCACAATGATTCAAAAATATCTATGCTGCATTTATATAATTATTATTTGATGAATGGAGGTTTGTTTAATAATTATTATTATCAATTCTGAATATTATTAGTATCAGTACCCATGTTGGCAGTGTTGGGTATTGTAAGTATTTGTATTATTTCCTGAGTCAAAAATACAATGTATTTCTTATTCAAATGATGAAATGTCTCATCAAAATTTTTTTAAGAATTTCTGACCTATAACACTGAAGTTGATCCTACAGAAAAAAAAAGGAAATCTAAAATGTTGGCAGTTGATATCCATTAGATACATTGATGAGGTTCTATAACAAATAATAATAAAAACTTATCCTCAGAAGACACTTCATTCCGTCAAATACAAGGATATTGAAATTCAAGTCTCATCATTGAACATCTCATGAACCTAAGAGACATATGAAAAAGTTGTGCAATTTGTTACCCTTTTCAAATTCGTGAAATTCCGCCATCTTTATTCTCCCAATTTTGACAAAAGAATCATTATCTCAGACCCCAAAATCCCCCAGATACCAAATCCGAATATAATTACAAAATTAGTCCGCCATATTGGATCCACAATCTTGAATTGAGAATCTTCAATTTTGGCGAAGGAACCATAATCTCCGACTCCGAAAACCCCCAGATATCCATTCTAAATAGGATCAGATCATAATTAATAAACTCGTTTGCCATATTTGATCTGCCATCTTGAATTTCCAAAATTTGTTAAAAGAATCATAATCTCCGAACCCGAAAACACCCAGATACCAATTTTGAACTAAATCGGATCATAATTACAAAACTCGTCCGCAATATGGATCCGCCATCTTGAATTTTCAAATTTCGAGCAAATAATCATAATCTCCGACCCCAGAAACCCCCAGGTACCAATTTTGAATAGAATCGGAACATGATTACAAAACTCGTCCGCCATATTGGATCCGCCATCTTGAATAACTCAATTTTTTTCTTTCATACGAACCTTTTCCTGACAATAACAAACACAACAAAAAAGAACTAGTGAAATAGGGATTCATTTTTATAGTATATAGAGATGATTGTAATAAATAGGCCCAGGAAGACAGGCATCGAAAATATAATTGGACCCAAAATGACAGGTCATAAAAAAATAACTGGACCGGATAATTGGATGATACAGAAATTATCATCAAACTCGATCTTAAATTCAGATTTACAATTCTTTGACTTACAACTTTTATTTGCGTTATAATGTGGTCAGCCATTAAGTCATCAATCTCTTCTTCAGGTAAATATGGATGAGTAATCATACTTATGTCATCCCTATCCTTATTACTAATAAGTTATTAGATATCTGGAAGAACCCGTATGAAGAAACTACCCCTCGATTTTTAGATTCATAACTCTCAAACGTAAACGCTTTATTCGCCATATAATGTGAACTTCGCTTCAAGGATATACATTGAAGAAACCCGGGAGAACTCAGTAGAAAAATAAAGAGACATTGGGATTAAGACATTGAATTTTATTACATATGGTCCTTCGAGCCGGATATTCAACAGTCTCAATTACGAGGCTCGAATTTCATACTCCCTGTCTTCATTACAACGTCACTTCTAGGAGGCCGTTGCGGTGGGGATTAAAGCCGCCCTGCGCCCCCACGACGGCGTCATCACCGCCTACAGGGCGCACGGCTGGTCGTACCTGATGGGCGTGAGTCCGGTGGGCGTATTGGCGGAGCTATGCGGCAGGCAGCAGGGCTGCGCCAGGGGCAAGGGCGGGTCTATGCACATGTATTCAGAGAACTTTTACGGAGGGAACGGGATCGTCGGAGCTCAGGTAAGATTTTGTCACCTTTGAAGGTTTTCGTAAGACTTGACACGATGGGCGCATGCAAATCGGCACCAAACAGATAGGTACCCTTTGCGGTCAGTTTCGAGGGATTATGAAAACTGAAATTGGGGCACGGAAGATTTAATTACGATTTGAGTATGTATTAATATGCCCCAAGACATTACCACTCTTTGATTTACACGCTTCATTTGCGTTGAAATGTGAACTTCGCTGCAGGAACAGACGTTGAAACCTTGATATCTTCTGCAGGTAACTATTATTTCTCTTCTTAGTGACCTGCGAAAATTCCTGTGAAGAAAATTGTCCTCACTTTGAAGACACACAACTCTTCGACTTACAATCTTTATTCATCGGTTTAAGGAGAGATACTGAAGCCTTGACCTGAGAAAACTCATGTGGAGGAACCTGACAAATTCTAAGAATCACAACTATACGACATAAATGCTTAATTTACTTTATAATATAAACGTACCTGCAGGAAGAACATATACTTTCTTAATCTCTTCTCCATATAACTTTATGCTTGGTATTCTTCTTATATACTCGCATAACCTCCTGACAAGGAACTCCACCTGAATTTCAAGTCACAATTCCTCGACTTACACGTTTTCGGACACACCTAACCCAAGCCACAATATCTCTTTCAGGTACCTTTGGGCGTGGGCATAGCCCTGGCAGCCAAATACAAGGGCACTGACGGCGTGTGCGTAGCTTTATACGGCGACGGCGCCGCCAATCAGGGCCAAGTGTTCGAGGTGTACAACATGGCCAAGTTGTGGAACATCCCGTGTATCTTCGTGTGCGAGAACAACGGTTACGGTATGTAGACATCGCGATTCACTCATAAATCATTAAAAGGAGGTATTCGCGATAGAAAATATTACAACGCTTCACCTGACGGCAAGAACTTGAACACTTCTGAGCGGTTTGTTCTGAAGGTTTGACCAATAATCACGAGCAAAAAACAAATGTTGACCAACGAAAACGAAGTAAACAGGCCGCTTTGACAGCATTCAAAAACTCCGATAGGTAGCGTATGCTTATCGCGAATAGGACAACAATCTAAAACGCCAAAGACCATAAATGAATGAAATCGCGAATGGTGGTGATAAGCTACGGAATCATTGCCACAATATTGATAGTCTCTATGAATATTATTCCTAGACATAGTTCGTACATCTAATAAATCGAGATTTCTATAAATGAGTGTATATAATATTCATAATAATAATAATGATGATAAACGACTATCCCTAAACAAATGAATAGGTGGAGTGTCACTTACAGTGTTTTTCATCGTAACCTGTGTAGAAAATGGAGTATAAAAGAAAAAAAAGAACTAGAGAAAAAATTATGTGGGAGTATCTTGGGAGGATAGGTATTTGTTAGTATACATTTCTATAAATAAATATATATCAAGATCATTACAGATGACCGCAACATCTCAGAGGCCAAGAATCATTATGCATTAATAAATTAATTCTCACGTATCCCATACCATAAGTGCGAATCCCTACTAATATTTTAAATGCCAATGTAAGTTGGTTTTTCGAACTTTCACGCCAAAACTACTCAACCGATTATCATCATGTATTCTTGATGTATTAGAAAGAACATTCGATGATACTTTTTATTAAAAAAATATTTTGGCGGACAGGATTGTCTCCTTTCATTTGCTTTTTCTTTAAACTCGTTATCACATGTCGGAAGTATGTCCGGAATAATAGCAGCAAATGAATCGCTGTGCCGTGGATTTGGCTCAGACTGAGGCACCGTACATAAATATGAAAAATCTGATTTTTCTGGCTCTTCTGGCGTTTTAAAAAATGTTACTGAATCCAACACTTCACTTCATTAGGTTAGTCTTTGTAATTTCGATGGTACTGTTTGTTTTTGCTGACCCATAACCAGGGTTGGCCGATATATATCAAGTGATATATATCATGATATGTATCATGATATATATCTGATATTTATTGATTGATATATATCATGATATATATCATTTACTTCTTTTTAACAAAATAAATACCGGAGCAAAAAGTCCTTGATATTTTGCGTTAAAAATGAATACGTGACAACAATGCGTTTCGTGGTTATAACTTACAACTCGGGGAATCCCCGGTTTTTGTTTACTGCTTGTTAGGTACATGGTACATCAGGCGTGTCCGTTTAGCAATACAAACGAACAGGCCTCACGCATACAATGATTTGGTGGAAATCGGTTGCAATTCCTGACTCCGAATGGCCAAAAAAAGAAATCTTCTTACAACTATACTATGTGAGCAGTTATTCAGTGCAGTAGCTGGTTTAGGAAGAATTTTTTCGAGTTTTGGAATAGTTCAATCTAAATTGAGAAATCGTCTAGGCAACGAAAAAGCCAGTAAGCTAGTATTTATTTTTAAATGTTTAAACCCAAATACAGATAAAAAAGCCAAAAGCTTGGACTGGATCTCGTCGAATGATGAATTAGTTGCCTTGAGTGAAGATGATAATATTGATAATGATGATTATATTCCTCTTTCTCGGTTTTGCAATCCTTAAAAATTTATCAAACGACAAGTTTTTTATATTACCATATATTACATATTTTCGGAAAAATATTATTTTTTGTTTCGTGTTTTGTTATTTCAAATTAAACCGAGAATTAAACTGAAGTTTGATTTTTGTTTTTACCAAAATAAAGGTATTTTATATTGTGTTTTTTTTTGGCATATCAGCCTAGGAACAAAATCGAAATTTCTGATATATATCGGATATATATCCGATATTATGATATTTTGATATTTTGATATATATATAAATATCATGATATTTGCCAACCCTGCCCATAACAGGTCTCATTTAGTCTGATGATGACCGTTGTGTCGACACCGGGTCACTTTCTGATTGTAGTTATTTATATAAATTGTGGTCGACCGAATTGGAATTTTTCTTCCATGTATGAATGCTGTGGGGCCACTTCGAGAATGGATGATTATCATAGATTACAATAAATAATTAATAATTAAATAAAACGAGAAACTTGATGACTTGGCATGAGATAATTGACATTTCATGGATGAAGAATGATATACAGGGTGTAAATTTGAAAACTTCCAATGCGAATATCTCGCGAAAGAAAAAAGTTAGAAAAACGCCGTTTGGCAAAAATGCTAAAGAGTTAAGGGGAACTAGAACCACCATATTTCGCTCAAGGGATGAGTCACCCCGTCGGCGCGACACACCCCAACTTTGAAATGTCAAATGGCACTACCTTTTTTGTGATGCCTCAAATGAACAGTCTCAGTCAGTAGTATTCACTTGTACAAGACTTTTTTCCACCCACTACAGGGTGTACGAAAAATATAAAGTCGAATAAAATAAAATGAATTGTGTTAAAAGGATATTTTATTTGATCAGATGTTCAAAATGCATTCCATTCTGTTGTAAGCAATAGTATAACCGATGTTCAAATGCCATTCTAACTTTTTGAAACATCTCTTGGAATATATCGGCAGTCTGCATTTTATTTCATTCGAGTTTATGTTTTCCGTTCACCCTGTAGTGGGTGGAGAATAAGTCTTGTACTGGTGAATACTACTGACTGAGACCGTTCATTTGAGGTATCACAAAAGAGGTAGTGCCATTTGACATTTCAAAGATGGAGTGTGTCGCGCCGACGGGGTGACTCATCCCTTTACTGAAGTATGGTGGTTCTAGTTCCCCCTAACTCTGTAGCATTTGTGCCAAACGGCGTTTTCCTAACTGTTTTATTTAGCGAGATATTCGCATTGAAAGTTTTAAAATTTAGACCCTCGAATTGATGTTTTTCGTACACCCTGTAGTGGGTGGAAAAAAAGTCTTGTACAGGTGAATACTACTGACTGAGACCGATCATTTGAGGTATCACAAAAGAGGTAGTGCCATTTGACATTTCAAAGTTGGGGTGTGTTGCGCTGACAGGGTGACTCATCCCTTCACTGAAATATGGTGGTTCTAGTTCCCCTTAACTCTTTAGCATTTTTGCCAAGCGGCGTTTTTCTAACTTTTTTATTTCGCGAGATATTCGCATTGAAAGTTTTCAAATTTACACCCTGTATATACTAGAGTTTGAAACTCAAGAAAATGAATCAACGCATATGTGAAGCAGTGATAGTTGTGATTGGAGAAAGATCTCTGAGATCGAGAGAATTCATTTTTTCTGGGAATGAAGCTATGAAACCTTTCTTAATAATAAATTTGTGAACCTCAACACAAAAATGTCTTCTAAATGCCTTCTACTTTCAAAAAGTTTCGTTTTTCGTCAATGGAATTTTATATTTTGACAAGTGTCGATAGTCATTCCACGTCATTCCTTGTAGTGAGACGGAATGAAAAGTAGCAACCGGAATCGGGAAAGTCGCAAATAAAACAAATTAAAGTGATTCCGGTTGTAGAATCGGTTAAATGAAACACAACTACTATTTCAACAGGCATGGGCACCAGTTCGGCTAGGGCGGCAGCCGACACGAACTTTTACTCGCGGGGCGACTACGTGCCCGGCCTGTGGGTGGACGGCATGGACGTTTTGGCGGTACGCGAGTGCTTCCGGTACGCGGTGGAGTACTGCGGGCAGGGCAAGGGGCCGCTGGTCATCGAGGCTGCCACTTACAGGTCAGTGAGAGAGATATGTTTGTATGCAACACTTAAGTAAAATGAGTTTATGAACTACTTCTCTGTTCTGAAATTCCTTGAATCCACATACCAATTCATGAAATAACTATGTTAGCTGATTCTATGATTTCCAGCGCTCTATTGTGTATTCCATTCTATGAATCTTATCACTTATCGAAGACTGGAACCTTTGGCACGATAATACACTACACACTGTTTTACCACTGACCAAACCGATTTTTTACACCTCGACACGTGTTTCGCTAACTATGTAAGCATCTTCAGGAGAAGGTTAAAACTGTTTAATCTTGTTTACTATGACCTGTGAGAAGTCCCGCTAGTATTCTAGTCAAGTTAAGATAATGAGGTTATTTCTGACGTTCATAGTATTTATTGTCAAATTCAAACAATTTTGAATAGGTCGCGTGCACGATGACCGACCCTGAAGGTAAAGTATTGAAACACAACCTCACTTTTTTTTATGTGTTCACAGAGGAATCAAAGGATCGAAATAGTTTTTCACAATATTTTGGCATACGAATCGTGTTTTTTTTGGGCTATTCGTTAATTCAAGCAAATGCCATCTCATTGTGCTGTTATAAAATGCACTAAAAATGCAGCGAGAGACGAAGGAATATAATTTTTCAGGTAGATAGTAATCTCACAAAGTTTAATTTTGTCATTCCTTCTGCCACTTCTGCAATAGAAGCTAATATTGCTAATAGATTGAAAATGCCTACAGCACACACGATCATATTTCGTCAGCATGTCGGACCAGTCCTCCCGTTTGATTGAATGAATCCAATCTTCTTGCATTATTTTAGAAGTTTCAGGAGTATTTCTATAAGCTCCTATTGCAAAAGGAATTCCGATGAGAGAAATAGAGAAATAACCAAATTTCAAAATGAAAACTATATGTGAGTGACTATAGTAGGTACTTACTTTTAAATCATAGTGCACCAACTGGATCCCTTCGTCTCGTCGCATTTTTTGTGCATTGTACAACAACACAATCTGATGGCATGCGCAAATTATCAGTTGCGTTTTATTTGTTCCATTCTGGTAGCGGTGGTGGGAACAGAATGACGTTTACAAATAAAACGAGAAACTTCATAACATTGCTTGAGATAATTTACATAAGAGGTTATATTTGTATATGGGAGATCCAAATAATTTCAAAAGCATAATACTAGAGTTAAAAATCTAGAAAATGAATCAACTAATATTTGGAACCGTGATTGTGGTGATTGAAGAAACTTCTCTAAGATCAATAGAGTTTATTTTATTTGGTAATGAACATATGAAACCTTACTTGGAAGAATCATGAACTAGTGAAACTCACGCTGAAAATGTCTTCTCAATGTCTTTTACTTTCAAAAAAGTTCGTTTTTCGTCAATCTAATTTGATTTTTTGACACCTGTCAACAGTCATTCCACATCATTCCTTGTAAAGAGATGGAATGGAAAGTAGCAACCGGAATCGGAAAAGTTGCAAGTAAGACGACACATCAAACTGATTCCGGTGGCGGAATCGGATAAATAAAACGCAACTATTGAATAGCCGAAAAACACGATTGGTATGCCAAAATAATTGTGAAAAACTATTTCAATCACTTGTAAACAAATAAGAAAATGAGGTTGTGTTTCAATGTTACACCTCCAGGGTCGGTCATCGGACAATTCTTGCACGCAACCCATGAAAAAGCGCCGAACGACTATGGTGCTCTTGTCACAATACAAGGTGTGTAATTTAATGAATCTAAACATTAAAAACACTAACAGTTTTCATTTCTGTGTCGGAAATCTTATCTAACTAATACCATCCGGCGACTCTAATCGACACCATACCCGACTCAATTCCCCGTAAACCCGAAATATGGAAACCGGCCAAATGCCCTCAATCCGCTATCACTACACACTAGATTGACACGTGACAGTTGCCTTACATAATTTATAAAATCGAGGATATGAAATGTTGTGCCGTTTTCTACAATAACGAACTTGAAACATCTGTTATCATTTTTCAGGTATTCTGGCCATTCAATGTCTGATCCTGGCACAAGTTACAGGACCAGAGATGAAATTCAAGAAGTCCGACAAACCAGAGATCCCATCACTTCATTCAAAGAAAAAATAATTTCCTCCAACCTCGTCACTGCCGAAGAAATCAAGGTAATAATATATTTGTACAGATTCAAAACATTTTCATTTCTGAATAGTCTGCAACCAAATATAATAATTTTTCGGTGGTGCCCTATGAAACAGCCTGGATCGAAAATTGATTTGCAGACAAGCAAAATTTTTGAGGTACAAAAATTAAAATTCACTTTTTATAACAGCAGATTAGAATGAAACTACATTTTAGGCCCATTTTCAAACAGAAGATTTCAAGATCCGTTTGAGAGAATCTGCTGTTCGATCAATTTACAAAACAGGCTATTTGAAAAGAGGATCCATTATTATCACACGAAATGCAGAATAAAACTATCGTTGATACTTTATATTATTATTTGTAGAAAATTGATGGAGAAATAAGAGCCATCGTCGATGACGCTACCAAAAAGTCTCTGGCTGACCAAGAAATCGGTCTGGATGAGTTGCCAGCCGACATTTACTGCAATAATTTGGAGGGAAAAATCAGAAACATCGACCCGTTTACACACCTGGCGCACAAAAGAGTCGGGCCTGCCGTCAATGCGCAGTAAACTAATTCAACAAATTTCGGTATTGCGTTTTGAAAATATCGAAGGTTATCAACGATGACGCAATTGTTTTGGAATTTCGTTGTCTAAATGAAAACATAAGTTATAATGAGGAATTAAGGACAAACATGAAATTAAATAATAGCGAAAGAATTGACTCACAATGTTCCGATAGTTGAATGAAATCAAGTGAGGATTTAAGTATTTAAAAATAAATGAATATTACATTTGGTCCCTGCTCGGGCGCCAAATGTAACGATATCTGTAGATTTCAATTTTAAGTTTAATTTTGTTTTTATTTACTTTAAACTATGGGAGGTCCTGTTTTAGTTCCTTGAAATGCATCTATTTTCTGTTTTTTTTTGAAAACCAACAAAAGCCTCAAATGATTCACTAAATGATTCATTCAGAACTTTTCAATATCTTTGAACTTGTTATTGTAGGTCAATTAGATTAAAATTGTTTTCCGAATACAGGGTGATTCAGGCACATTTGTTTTTGATATACCAATAGTAGCAATTGAGTTTTGTACCATACTTCATGAATTCCATAGTTTTCTATGGAGTATTCAACTCTGATTCCTTCTTGGCAAAACTATTTTACGTATCTTTATGAATCACCTTGGAATTTTCTACCAATGTTGAAAGTACATGTTTGTTGTTTTTGTAAATAATAACAATTTAATTTATTATTCAATTGATTTGTACCTATGTATATACATTATCGAAGTCTGGTTTTATACTTTCATTGTGAAAATAAAATTATTTTTATGTACACCATCAAACGAATCATAATATAGATTCTACAAGAACCGTTCAAATTGAGGTTTAAATTTGATACCCTTTGCCTTCCTAGAAATATCACGCTGGAGTCCCGGGTTTCTTGAACTTTTCTTTCTTCTTGGGAAGACGGTCTATACTCAGCTGAACACTCTGTCTAACAAGATCTGGCATGCCCTCTGAAATTGATAACATTACTGAATCAATAATTCAGTATTTCAAATAAATAATAATATACACTCACCGGCAAAAAAAATGGCCACCAAAAAATTTGCCCAGATTGTTCACCCTGTAACTTTTTTAATCCTCTTCCGATTTTTGTGAAATTTGGATCAAACCGTAGATTTTTGTGATACGATGTTGGCCTAAATATAAGTTTTCGTGAAAAGCTGATGACTTGATCATTATACAGGGAAAAACCAAAGTTACTATTTCACCCTTTACTTCTTAACGCCCTGTGGCGGAATTGAGTGATTGAACTTGGCTTCATTATGCTTTGGATTGAAGTGTGATTCCTTCTCAACACAATAGTCTTTGTTTCACGTCAATATCTTATTTTTAAGAGTGTTTTAAGAAAGTATGTCATTTTTCAATTTTCATTAACAATCATCAGAACCTACATACAGTGTCATTCATAAAGTCGGCATCATATGGGAAAAACTTTTATTAATGACTTATTTTGGAATTTGAGTTGGACGTTGAGTTTTGCTTCAAAAAAAAAAAGAAAAATGGCCTACTCAATCGGGGTCACGTGACTTTCGCTACATGTCAAAAGTGACATTTTTTCAAATTGATCGCTGAAAGTAGGCTTATTTGTTCGAATATCGAAAAAGTTTACTTGAAAAAGTTGTTTCTATTTCAATTTTACATATGTGACTCGGATTTTAACTTTCTATTACATTTTTTAGATTTCGATATTTTTTAAAAATTTTCGAAATTTCTGTAATATTAAAAAAAGTGTAAATTCGATAAAACTACTTCATATCAGTAGTTTTATCATGCTACTAACTTTCAATTACTAATTATCACTAATTATCGACAAAAATATGATTTTCTTCAGAAAATGATAATCTCCGCTTCAAAATTTTGTTATGTTTGATGCAAACATAACATCGAAATTCTGTTATGTTTGAGTCAAGCATTTATAGAATAGAATAGAATAGAATAGAATAGAACTTTATTTACGGTTATCCATTGCATACATTATAATCACAAATATTATTACAAGATGGGAAAAAATATGTACCTATGTAAATATTCAACAAATACAAATAAACATAAATAACAAGAGAATATCCTAAATTAGTATGAACCTATCACAGTTATCACTCACAGTTGCTATATATCCTAGATCATTATGAAGCTATATCACAGTAATCAAACACAGCTGCTTATAAAGGGGTACTATTAATGGTAATCAATGTCGAAATGAATACAATTATTATTGTATTCCCTTGGTATCCTTGAGAGAGGGCTATGCATGCCATAATTTGTGGAATGATGGTTAATGTAAAATAGTGCTTTGCTTCTAGTCCTACTGTTTGTACTTAGCTGAATTTCGGATACAAGTTTGGGACAGTCAATGATACCATTCAACAATTTATATAAAAAGAGCAAGTCTGTGTTGAACCTACGTTTTTCTAAAGTTTCCAAACCTGTGCTATTTTGAATGTTGTCATAATCATGATTCCAATTCATTCCCAGTCTGAATGCATAATGCCTGAGGAATTTTCTCTGTATTCCTTCAATTGTCCCGATATCAACACTGTAGTTAGGACACCATATCACAGAAGCATATTCTAAGCAAGACACGATATTCATTTAAATTTATTTTTCCAGTACTGAAAAGATCAGTTTAAATGAATTTCGTTTCTAAAAGCTTGACGATGTATCAACTTTGCATCAAACATAACAGAATTTGGAAGCGGGTATTATCATTTTCTGAAGGAAATCATATTTCTGTCCATAATCAGTGAAAATGAGTAATTGAAAGTAAGTAGCATGAAAAAGCTACTGGTATGAAGTAGTTTCGTGGAATTAACAGTTCTTCAAATATTACAGAAATTTCGAAAAATAAAAAAAAATCAAAATCTAAAAGTTGCAATAGAAAGATCAAATTCGGGGAGCATGTGTAAAATTGAAATAGAAACAACTTTTTCAAGTAAACTTTTTCGATATTCGAACAAATAAGCCTACTTTCAGCGATTAATTAAAAAAAATGCCACTTTTGACATGTAGCGAAAGTCACGTGACCCCGATTGAGTAGGCCATTTTTCATCTTTTTGGAAGCAAAACTTAACGTCCAACTCGGATTCCAAAATAAGTCATTAATAAAAGTTTTTCCCATATGATGCCGACTTTATGAATGACACTGTATACTTATCGATGAACAACTTGAAGAATTAATTTCACTCATTTCTACCTCTTTTCTTACCACTTACCGGAAAAATCCTTATTTACAAAAAACAAACGAAGTAGACCTGTAGTCAATAACGAGTATGCCCTCCTCGGCCTTCTCGAGTTTGATTTACAACATTCAACCGTCGTAGCATAGAGTTGATCAAATTCCTCAAGTGGTCTTGAAGAAATTCCTAATATTCCCCTTGAAGTGCGAATCGTAGTTCTTGAAGTCCTGATAAGGCCTGACGTAGGCGAATTAGCCTCTGGAGTTCATCCCTAAGATGCTCTATAAGTTCTGAATTATGGTTAATGTTTAATACAAATATAAAAAATCCTTACTTTCTTGAAACACTTGTATATTCTCTTAAAATGACATGAATCTAGAACCATTGTGTTAAGAAGGGGCGAAAAAGGATCACAATTCAAAACAAGATGAAGCAGAAGGTTGGAGAATTATTTTTAATAAAAATAATAAAAACCCATACTTCCTAATAACACTTGTATCTTCTCCTAAAAAGTGGTTATCGACGTGAAATAAGAACCATTGTGTTAAAAAGGGATCACACTTCAATCCGAAACATAATGGAGCTAAGTTCAACGACTCACTTTTTCCACAGGGCGTTATAGGAGGTTAAGGGTGGAAAATTCACTTTTGTTTTTCCCTGTATAATGATCAAGCCGTCAGTTACTCTCAGGACCTAATATTCAGGCTAACATTCCGAAACATGAACATACGATTTTGTCGAAATTTCATCAAAATCGGACAAGAATTAAAAAAGTTACAGGGCAAACGATTTGGCAAAATTTTTTTATAGCCGGTTCTTTCTGCCGGTGAGTGTATATTGCACCCACCCTACTTGTTTTCTTGTTTGAAAACTTATATGTTCGTGAATACGGTGGTTGAACGTTCTATTTGTCTGACCAATATATACCCAGTTGACATTTTCTCAACTTGTTGTGTTAACGTGTGAACTCATGTAATGTTCGTGAATCCTATGGTTGACCATTCTACTTATCTGACCAATACAGTGTGTCTCACTTTAACCCCCCCCCTCTATATCTCAGCTATTAGTCCTAACCTAACCTAACCTGACCAATACAGTGTGTCTCACTTTAACCCCCCCCTCTATATCTCAGCTATTAGTCCTGCAATTCGTACCAAATTTGGACTGGTATAAATAACCATCCATATGATCGTGTTTTCAAAGACAAACATCCTTTTGGACAGTGCCGTGTTCTTTTATTGAAATAAAAAGCAGTCGATTTTCATGAAATCATTTGAGGAAAAATAACAAATAATCACCTCATTCCGAATTAACAAGATTGGTTTTTTTTTCATGTTCAGCCTCGAAAAAATAGTGAATTATAATCAACTGCAAATGTTGGAACGTTCAATGACTTTGGTTGGTAGAAAATCACGATTTGAAAGAAAAAACAAGAAATACTATTTTATGTTGAACTCACCGTTTCCGAATGAATAATTATTATGTTCGCAAAAATGCTGTTTAGATGTGCCCTCTGAAATTGATAACATTACTGAATCAATAGTTCAGTATTTCAAATAAATATATATTGCACCCTACTTGTTTTCTTGTTTGAAAACTTATATGTTCGTGAATACGGTGGTTGAACGTTCTACCTGTCTGACCAATATATACCCAGTTGACATTTTCTCAACATATTGTTATGTTAACGTGTGTTGAATAGGTTTTTTCAAACTGATGTAATGATCGTGAATCCTGTGGTTAAGCATTCTACTTGTCTGACCAATACACATGAATCCCTAGAAAGCCTGGGTGCTAACAACAGAGTCACTTTGCTGTGGGTGCATGGACACCAGGGGGTGGAGGGTAACGAGAAAGCCGACATCCTCGCCAAACAGGGAACCGAATCTGTGTTCATAGGACCAGAACCATATTTTGGGGTCACCGCAAGTGCGGCGAAAACAACTATCTCGGGCTGGGCGGAGGGAAAAACACTCACGTACTGGTCCGAATTACCAGGATTAACCCATTCGAAGGCGTTCCTGCCTAAACCATCGGAAAAAATAACCAGGCAGATCCTAGAATGGAGCAGGGGTAACCTGCGAATTCTGACTGGACTGCTTACGGGACACTGTCGTCTAAGATACAACCTGGGAAGGATGGGTCTGAACCAACAAACGGACTGTCGGTTCTGTTGTGTGGAAGACGAAACGGCTGAACACATATTATGTTCATGCTCTAGCTTAGAAAGACTAAGGTTCGACACATTTGGCTTTACCAACCTAGAACCCATCGATTTCAGACAAATCTCACCCAATTCAACCATGAACTTTGTAAAAAGATGTGGATTGTACGGTGAACTGTAACCTCTAGGGGTGAGCCACAATAGACCCATCTGGGGTCGCAGTGGAGGGAAGGTGTTCGCCCCACTCACATGGAACCTAACCTAACCTGACCAATACAGCGTGTCTCACTTTAAACGCCCCCTCCCCACTCTATATATCAGCTATTAGTCGTGCGATTCGTACGAAATTCAAACCGGTAAAATAAATTGAAAAAAAAACAAAACTAGGAGATAACAGTAAAATTATTTGGCGTTTACTAAAAAAATTCTCACCTTCGATCAACCCCGAAAAGAACCTGTTCAGCTCAATCAAACAAGCCGCGTCGTGGTCTTCTTTGGCCCTGAACTGCCTGCAGATTTTGCCCATCAACAGAATGGCCGTCGACTTGAAATTCACGTTTTCCATGGGAATTTTGTAGATCAACGGTTTGAAGAATTCGTTGATCTTCTTGTACACCCATTTATTGTCCTTGTTGCGGCAATACAGCCGGATGGCGAAATCCGAAGTCGGATTCGGATTTCCTGAAAACAACGGTAATTTTTCATAAGTAATACCACAAGTTATACTATTTTGCTGAGATATGCGGCGATTGTTACATTTCATTTATTTCGTATCAGGTACAGGATACAATAAACATATTGGATAATGCCAAAAGTATGCAGTATAATGTTACTTGTCATAATTCCTAATACATTGATATATTACGAACAAACTTAGAGAAAGACGAACAGCTAAAATTTATCTGAGTAGTTGATCATTAGGCACATTAAAATCAGAAATTGAAATCATTCCATTTGAAATCATTTATATCCTTGTCTAATTTTCACCACTGGAGTTGGTCATTGAGGTAGTCCTCTATGGAATAGTAGGCTTTCTTCAGGAGGATTTTCTTTATTTCAAATTTATAGTTTTGTATGTTTTTAATTTTTTCATGTTTTCTGGGAGTTTGTTAAATACTTTGACTCCCATGTAATCACAGGTTTGCTGCCCAACTGTGGACGGCTAAATTGAGATGAAATTTGGTTCTTGTTTTTAGTGTTGTGTTCGTGTATGTTTGATCTCTGTGCAGAGGAAATAATTTTATTTTTGGTATGGATAAGAAACATGTAAAACGGAAAAACGAGACCAGACTTCAGATTTTGATGTCTGAGTACTCCATTCAGGACATCCATTACTGGATAACCACAGTATGTAACATTTTGAAATTTTCATACCGATTCATAGCACTGCATTTTGCCATCACGAAATACAGAGTGGACAAAAAAATAATCTATGCATATTTTCGACATTGACAAGTATCTCAAAAGTTATACAGTGTGTCCCACTTACCATGCTCACCATGGGTATCTTTATAACGGTGACAGATACGAGGTCGGTTGAATGACACCAAATATTTATGAAAATATTCAGATAGGAATTCCACATTCTCATGGCAGTTTTTCAAAGTGATTTCGAAAAAAATATGAAATTTATACCAACTCTTCTAGAATTTGAGATATCATCACCAACTTCCATAATGTATTGTCACCGAAATTATGAACACCTGCCAAATTTCAAGTTAATCGGAGTTATGGAATTTTTGTTGAAATTAAAAAAAATGGCTGCTCCAAGATGGCGGACAAGATTTGGTCCGATTCCATTCAAAATTGGTAAGTGGGGGTTTTTGAGATCGGAGATCATGAGTTTTTTGTTAAAATTTATAAATTGAAGATGGCGGCTTCCAAATAATTTTTTGTTTTTGTATAAACGACGATAACTCCCTTGTTATCAACACAAAACTATTACTGCGACATATCATCTGTAGGAGAAAAAGAAGTTATTTGTAACTAAGTCATAGTGAGCTATGACCTACATTTGAAAAACTAAAATTGGTGCTGGTATCTCAAATTCTAGAAGAGTTGGTATAAATTTCATATTTTTTTCGAAATCACTTTGAAAAACTGCCATGAGAATGTGAAATTCCTATTTGAATATCAAAATAATTTTTCACATTATAGTTGGCCTTGACAAACTCCACATTTGGTGTCATTTAACCGACCTCGTATCTCTCACCGTTAAAAAGATACCCATGGTGAGCATGGTAAGTGGGATACACTGTATACGTATACGAGATATGTTCATATGAAGTTTGATTCTTGAAATTACTATGAGATGGTGTGACAAATGGAGACTGAAGCCAAACCCAGAAAAATCCCAACTGATAATATTCAACCATAATATCTCCAATAACTCACCTTCAGTCAGTGTGAATAATCATATTGTGAGAACGAGCACAGTAGCCAAGTACTTAGGAGTTCACTTAACATTTTCGGAACCTAACATATTAGAAGAGAGGAATTAGCAGAAAAACAGCAGCTCACATTTACAAAGCCATATGCCGCCCCATACTCGAATATGCTCACCCAATATACATCAACACCAGAAAGAATCTAGTAGTCGCAGAAAGATCTAGCCTGAGAGCAATCACGAAAATACGACATCCTCAAAACTCCCTTCACAACCCTCCAAATGAACTCCTCTACCAACTCACCACTAATGTACAACCAATGGGCGTGTACACCTTAGTAGAACTTTCAACTCAAACCATGTTTATAATGATCCTTTTATACATAAATAATGATTGACGACATAATTCGATCGAAAACTCAACCGGAATGTTTTATATTTGGACATAAATAATAGTACCTTCTGAAAACGGACCCTCTTATGACGTAGAAACCTCATCTCGCCATAGTTAAAAAAAAATACCAAACGCCCGACGGAGACTGAGGCAACTGATATATTAATTCTTTCAACTGTGATCTCGCGCTAATACACTCTGTCAGATATCATGTATCATTCATCTCTGTCTGGAATAATCTTGTTTCAGTATTAGGGTTTTGACGTCACATCATCGCCTCGTTTTCAGAGGTCCAAAAATCGGGAATTTCAATAATTTTTTATAAAACGTAGGGAGCTCACAGCAAGAAACGGTTTGCGGTGGTGAGCTAGTTTGGGTGAGTTCTATCGAATTAGGAAATAAAAATTTTTTGTGATATAAGCCCATTAGCGAGAGACTGGAAAAACTATCACAGAAGTTCTCCAACAATGAAAGTAACCTGCAGATCATTCAAACCCAGTGCATCCAAAGACACCCTACAGAGACCTCAAGTAACAAGTTTCCAGTAAACACCTTGGTCACCAACATGGCAGAAATACCAAGAAATTAAGAAATTGACCAATCTTGAACACTTTTCTTTTTTTTACTTACATCAGACAATAATTCACATAAATATGATTACATTTTATTATTCAATCAATGAAATGAAGTACAACAAATTTCAATGTATTACAGGCTGAAGGACTTCGGCCGGTGGCCAATTGGGTAACCAATAAAGCACTTTTATTATTATTATTTCTTGAAATTGGTCGAATAATTGGCCCCTTGAATATTAGAGAGAGAGAGAATAATCTTTATTGTCTAAAATGTATTACATTTCGTCGACAAAGGTATAACATATATATAAAAAACAAACTATTGTAAAAGAAACAAGACTAAAAAAATATTTACACAAAGGGTATAATACGGTACGGTACACACGTGCTTTTACAACTACAGTTTATTAAAATCTTGATGTAGATAGTAACATTTATATAGAAAGACTAGAAATTATATGCAAAATACTCTTCCAAACTATAAAAGCACTCTCCCATCACAAGGTTTTTTACCGATTTCCTAAATTGCTTCTGATCATTGATTGCTGTTATTTGTTTCGGTAAATGATTATATATCTGTCTACTTCTATAGATTTGAGAATGCTTGGTCAAAGTTGATGTGGGGAGTGGAAGGACAAGTATCATCTCCTTTCGTGTATGCCTTTCTGCTCGATTCAAGAACTTTTCTTTATGTTTGTGGAGCAAGCAAACAGTCTCTATAATAAAAATTTCGAATATTGTTGGTATTTTATATTTGCAGAAAATTGGCCTACACGAGTCGCGAATCCTCTTTTTGAATATTATTCTCATAGCTCATTTTTGAATGACGAATATACTTTGCAATAAAACCTGGCAGGCAGAGCCCCAAAATGGAATTCCATACCTAAGATGACTCTCCATGAGTGAATAGTATGCGGTCATTGAAGCTGAAAATCCGAGTTCACGAGATATGACATTCACGGCAAAGCAACCAGAAGACAATTTCTTTTTCAGTGCATTAATTTGTGTGTCAAACTTTAAATTACTATCAATAAATATACCTAGGAATTTCGTTACAAGCTTACTTTCAACCGTCTGACAACCTAAAGTTACCTGATCCAAATCCCACTTAAATGTGACCAGATTTGTTTTAGAAAAATTCAGCGACAACATATTCGATTCACACCAATTTTTTATTTTTTCTAAATCAGAGTGTATAGTTCGAGTCAAAATGGCCGGATCTCCATTACGCCAAAATACCGTGGTGTCATCCGCGAATAAGGTGAATGTTCCAGATATATCCAATTTAGCCAGATCGTTAACATACAGCAAGAATAAAATTGGGCCCAAGACTGACCCTTGAGGAACTCCGTTTACTATTTTTCCACTTTCGGAAGTATTATTGTTCAGAGATATTTTTTGGCTCCTACCAGTGAGATAAGATCTGAACCATTCTAATGTTGTTCCCCGAAATCCATAATGGAAAAGTTTCTGCAGGAGGATCTCATGACACACACAATCAAACGCCTTAGAAAAGTCCAGAAATACTGCCGCAGCCACTTCCTTGTCGTTTAGAGTTGTGTAAATGTTTTCAAGTAAATTAAAAATGGCATCTGTCGTATTTTTATCATATTGGAAACCAAATTGTACGGGAGTTAAAATCTTGTGCTTTTCCAAAAAGCCCACCATCCTGCGTTTGACTAGTTTTTCGATGATTTTTGATAACGTTGATAGAATTGAGATCGGTCTGTAATTACTAGGGTCATCAATGGCACCTCCTTTGTGGAGTGGTAACACTTTCGCAGATTTTAAGCGTGAAGGAAACACACCAGTGGTAAACGATGTATTTATAGCTGTTACTAAGGCTTCAAGAGCTTCATCCGGCAATTGAAAGAGCAGCTTTGCTGAGAGGTTGTCTTCACCAGCAGAGTTTTTATTTTTGATTTCTATTATCTCAGATTTAAGTTCACTCAAATATGTATCATACAAAAAAAGGGAGTCCATAGGAGAGCTCATCTTGTTCAAATTATGAAGTGGATCTACTATTGGTATGATATCTTTGGTTATTTTTGATGCTACTGAACAATAATATTCATTCAAATGATTTAAGTTGATCTTTATTTCCGGTTGATTTTGTTTTTTATTACCTCTCAAGTCGTTTATTATTGTCCACATGTCCTTTGGTTTATTACCTGCCTGATTCAGTCGGTCAGTATAATAGAGATCTTTGGCTAATTTGATAGTTTGTCTGTAAATACGACGAAAGTTATTGAAGTATGAAATAAAAAATATATTGTCACTATGAAATTTTCTAATGGTATGCAGGCATCTTAGATTTTTTGAGGAAATTTTTAGTCCTTTTGTGAACCAGAGTTTGGATTTTTTCCGTTTCAACAAGCGCAGCGGAAATGCTTTATCGAAATTTTCACAAACAAGTTTCTGAAATTCGTTAACTGGATCTTCTGTTTCATTTATAGAATCCCAATATGTGGCTTGACAGAGATTCAGAAAATGTGCATAGTTTTTTCTGCTATATATTCGTCCATACTGTTTGCCCTGGTTGATGGTTGCATCTTTAAGAATGTTGGGGATGATACAGAAAACTGCATTAGCATAACATTAAGGGACACTCTTTAAGTATATCTACGATTTTGATCGCACGAAAAAAATTAAATATATGCGTTCACTGAATTCTCATGAACCATACAGGGGAGAGGGGAATGAAAATTTGCTCATTGACGAAGGAGAAGACTCACTCAAGTAATGCTGGAAGATTTCTTCGAACAGCTCGTCGCAGTTCCGCCTCTCCTTCGGGTAGCCGTGGTACTGGTGCAACAGACACCGCAACGGTATCAGATTGTAGCCGGGCATGAAGAATGTTTTCAAGTGGACGAGTTGGACCAGCACCTTCGCCATTGGATAATCTGAAAACGTCAGATACAACACAATAGGTCGCGTGCACGATGACCGACCCTGGAGGCAAAATATTGAAACACAACATCATTCTTCTGTGAATTATTGAAACACAACCTCACTTTTTTACATGGTTACAGAGGAATCAAAAGGTTGAAATAGTTTTTCACAATATTTTGGCATACGAATCGTGTATCGTGTTTCTTGCGTTATTCATTAAGTCAAGCATGCCTTCGCATTGTGCTGTTGTACAATGCACAAAAAATGCAGCAAGAGACTAGGGAATATGATTTTTCAGGTAAATAGTAATCTCACATAGTTAGCATTATGAAATGTTGTCATTCCTTATTAAAATTCCTTCTGCCTTCTGCCACTTCTGCAATACAAGCTAATGCTGCTAATAGATTGAAAATGTCTACAACACAGTACACACACGATCGTCAGCATGTCAGACCAGTCCTACCGATTGATTGCATGAATCCAATCTTCTTGCATTATTCTAGAAATTTCAGGTATATTTCTATTAGCTGATTCTATTGCAGAAGGAATTCCGATGAGAAATCAGAGAAATAACCAAATTTCAAAAATGAAAACTATGTGAGTGACTATAGTAGGTACTTACTATTAAATCATAATGTACCATCCGGATTTCTTCATCTTCCGCTGTAGTTTTTGTGCATTTGACAACAGCACAATGTGATGGCATTAGCGAATTGATGAATAGCGGAAAAATACGATTCATATGCCAAAATAATTGTGGAAAACTATTTCGATCACTTGTAAACAAATATGTTTTGCCTCCAGGGTCGGTCATCTGACAGTTCTTGCACGCGACCTATAGGTCGCGTGCACGATGACCGACCCTGGAGGCAAAATATTGAAACACAACCTCATTCTTCTGTGAATTATTGAAACACAACCTCACTTTTTTACTTGGTTACAGAGGAATCAAAGGATTGAAATAGTTTCTCACAATATTTTGGCATACGAATCGTGTTTTTTGCGCTATTCATTAATTCGAGCATGACTTCGCATTGTGCTGTTGTACAATGCACAAAAAATGCAGCAAGAGACTAAAGAATATGATTTTTCAGGTAAATAGTAATCTCACATAGTTATCATTATGAAATGTTGTCATTCCTTATTAAAATTCCTTCTGCCTTCTGTCACTTCTGCAATACAAGCTAATACTGCTAATAGATTGAAAATGTCTACAACACACACGATCGTCAGCATGTCGGACCAGTCCTCTCGATTGATTGCATGAATCCAACCTTCTTGCATTATTTTAGAAATTTCAGATGTATTTCTATTAGCTTCTATCGCAGAAAGAATTCCGATGAGGAATCAGAGAAATTACCAAATTTCAAAAATGAAAACTGTATGTGAGTGACTATAGTAGGTACTTACTTTTAAATCATATTGTACCAACCGGATTACTTCGTCTTCCGCTGCAGTTTTTGTGCATTTCACAACAGAATAATGTGATGGCATGAGCGAATTGATGAATAGCGGAAAAATACGATTCGTATGCCAAAATAATTGTGAATAACTATTTCAATCACTTGTAAACAAATAAGTGAAGTGATGTTGTGTTTCAATATTTTGCCTCCAGTGTCGGTCATCTGACAGTTCTTGCACGCAACCTATAGAAAAGAGTCCAAGTCGCTCAAAGGATTCCCATTATTTTATATCTTTTATATTATTATTTCAGTTTCTATTTATTCATCATTTTTAACATTTCCATGACAATATCAGTGCCAACTAACATCTATTAATAAAACACCCATCGCGTGTCACGTGCCCTATATACAGCGCGCACCAACAAAAGTGCGGGGACAGTCTTTGAGAACTGCCGATAGAAGTGAAAACTAGGGTCGCTTGATGGAAATTGACGTTAAAATCATCTTAACAGGGTACGGACAGATCCTCGTCTCCTCTCACTCTAAAGTGTTTGTGAAACAGTTATATAGTTCCATCCTTATTCAATTCTGGGGATAAACACTAGATTTTTGACATTCGTTGTTATCATAAGTAATTTCCATATGGAATTCCTGATTCAACTATACCAAGATATTGATGAACATTCCTCTAGTTTTAGAGTTTACTACTCCAGCATAATCTTTGCGAGGTAGGGAACTTATAAATTGTACTGAAAGCTTAATATATTTCACCAAAAGATACTGTTCTTGGACTGTATACCAGTGTTGACTGAATTGACTGAATGCGCTGAGCTTTATGATTAAGAAATAGTGGAAACCTATACTACTGTACTCATGTCATGTGTGCTAAATATATTTTCGGGAATCCAACTCGGAGAAGAATTTATGGAATCACTAATATCACACTATGTAAAAAACTTCGTCTAGGATGAAAAGTAGGCTGATGAAAAGTAATACGTGAAATGTGCAGGAAAATGAAGAATAGAATATACTTCACCCCCATGCTATACATATGATTCTTCCGTCTCCCTTGATTAAAAAGTCACTTTCGAATAATTTATTGATGAAAGTAACAAAGAAGTAGATATACGCTAAGTATACGCAGTTTAACTTATAGGCACGTTATTTTCACTATCGCATCCCACATATTTTCTATTTGTGGAAGAGTAATTATTATACTAATTATATAAACTATAATGTCTTTCGCCATATTGGATCCGTCATCTTGAATTTTCCAATTTTTATGAAACAATCTTTATCTCCTACCCCGGAAAACCCCAGATACCTTCCAATTTTGAATAGAATTGGATCATAATTACAAAACTCGTTCGCCATAATATGATCTTCCTCAACAATAAGTAAATACCCTGTACATACCTATTATTAAAATTTAGAATGATTTTCTGTAGCGCCCATGGATGTGACGTGACAGCAATGTCAGGGATGCCAGTAGACAAAACTAAAGTCTCTAGATCATTAAAAAAGAATGCAGCTATGATCTGTCCGTACCCTGTTAAGATGACTTTAATTGTATGTATAACACTATGTATATTGTTTATGTATCCCTATTATAAACAACTATGTTTCTTGGGGTAATAAAGACAATCAATCAATCTCCACCGAAAACCCCAGATACAAATTGATTGATGGTTGTTTTTATTACCCCAAGAAACATATATAGGGATACATGAACACATGTACAAAAAATAATAATATCAAAAGGTTAACTAATGAATTCCACTCAGTGGAAACAAATTCATACTTTTTCTTAAGATGAAAGTAATAACACTTCAATTCTGAGTAATCAAATCATGCCAAATATTTTTCAAATTGTCCTGACCAGGTATTGTTTAAGATTGACTTTAAATCTTTTTACATCATGTATATTTCCCAATTCACTGGGTAATGAATTGTATAAAATTATTCCATTATGAAATACAGATTGTATTTGCTATCAAGAGAGACGGTGAACATTTTTTAATTGTTAATTACTTATGACTTGTATTAATAATAATGATGCCTTATCGACTCGGGTACTATTTATATTCGGAATCGATGCTAGGTTTGCAATTTTCCGCATTGAGAATGGCCATTACCTTTCGATATTGCTTACCTAGGTATTATCGCACGGTAAGCGGTTTTTGCAAATTCTACAGGAACTGGACGTCTATGAACTCTGCTGACCTGATCAAAACTACACTGTACTGAATGTTTCAATTTGGAAAAGTTAATTTATAATTGAAGATCTTGAAATGAACTCGAGTTTGAGTGATGTTATTCCATAGGCATTTGTACTTCTTGACAATATGTGCACTCGACCTATACGATATGTTTAACCGTTGAAAATGAGGTGCATTATTCATGTTTACTTACTTTCAACGTCAACTGCCATGGGTATCACCTCGACCCATGAAGTCAGTACCGTGAACAGTATGGGTACTGCCAAATTGCCGTTATAAAAGAAGGCCTCGCAGCAAAACGTCCGCATCCTGTTTATGTCCGCTTTTAAGCGGCAAACGGCCAAGAATAACCTCGTCAGAGGTATGGCAGCCTGTATACCACAACCTGAAAGATATTTAGAAGATGACAATAACAACAAATAAGGATCTCGGCGAAACCAAAATATTCGTTTTTCTTGTTCATAGGGTCGGTCTCATACCCTTCGGCTGAAGCCTCGGGATATAATCTTGGTCTCTTGGCAATAGTGATAATCTTTACTACCTTAGTGTATAAATATCTATTAGGTACTAAATAATGTAATAAGCAACGAGTTGACATCATTTTTTCAACTGATCGCCGCCCTTTTTTAATATTGAAATAACTCTGCTGTGAACCAGTATGGACAGTATCATTCAAACTATTATTTTTGTCTTCTATGCATAAAACTTGACGAACTTACAGCTTGGGGCGATCTTTTTTAGACAGCCTGAACAATGCTGGAATATAAAGTGATATTACCTATCCTTTGTATGTACAGTTGTGTTCGGGAAAGAAACTTCTCCAATATGCCATCAGTTATCTCTTTCTCCAAAGACACCAACAAACTCAGATATATCCTTTGAGTTCTAGTCATCAGCGGTGCTGGGTAATATTTGTTGATAGGTTTGTCATGGAAATCTTTGGCCACTTCATGTATTATTAAACTAAAAATAAAAATAATAATTTTTCTTCTACTAGTACAGGGTGATTGTTTATCTTTTACTCAATCGGCCCGATTCACTAAGAGCGTGGTTATTTCAACTACTGTCATTCGAGTGATTAATATGAAGGTCAGTGGTCATTTGAACCACTTACAGATTTTCTGATTCTCTAAGGCCTAGATGGATAATAAGAAAACAACTTGTCATGTTTTTTACACTTTTTATAGTGGCAGATATCCACCAGCCTCTTCTGGTGATTTGTGGAGTGGCTAAGGTTTTGAATAAAAAAATGTGGCACTATTTCAAGGAAATGTTGTTCATCTCTTGATGCTAGATGTTGCACAAGACTCATAAGAGAAAATTCTACGGCAAGAAAGTATGGAATATCTACCTAATTATTTGTGAAAACAACCTATTTCACTAGACGGATAGCATCAAACAATATAATTTTCAGGGATTCAACAAATCCATCCATAAATTTCAAAAAATCTATGACATTTTTTTCATGTTTTGGTTCCCACGAAAAGGGATATCCTGTAATGTTCAGAGAACATCGTGAAAACCAAGGAAAATAAGTTAGGAATTGGTGTTCTTCTTAAATTTCTGGAGGTTATATGCCTCGGGGAACACCTCCCTTGGCAATGTGTTCCAGAGCCTCGCTGTTCGTTGGATGAAAGAGTCTTTGGAAAGAGATGTTCTGCAGGTCTCCAAAGTGACCAGAAAGGGGTGCGAAGCCTCAACTCGCGGGGATTTCCAAGGGAGGAACAATTGTTGATATTTCAGAAGAGCATCGTCCATGAAAATATCTACAAAATAGAGCCAGATCGCCAACTTTTCTACGGTGTTCCAGAGAAGTGAGTGAGTTTGTGAGCGAGGCATCACCCACGAGACGAACGGTCCTTTTTTGGACCGAATCCAACAGTTTCAGGGTATGTTTGGGTGCTGCACTCCAAATATGGAAACAGTATTCCAGGACAGGTCGGATCTCTGCTTTATAGATCTGGGGTGGTTAAAAAAGTTCTTAGCAACAACGTTACTAATTTAGCCACCCTGTTCTTAAAGAATCGGACCGAATAGCTATCTCAGTTAATACTGATCTTACAGAAACGTTCAAATGGAAAAAAGTGGAGTATTTTTATGGTCATTTAGAATCTAGTACTAGAAAATGTAAAAAAGCATCGTAAACCTAAACATTTTACATAAACTGGTATTTTTCAAATAATGGAACATCCTGTATTTCAGTTTCCTAAACGGCAGAGCTCTTTCTTCTGATTTCAAATATAAATATTTTATTGAGGTTATTTTTTGTCAGTTTATGAAAAATATAGACTTTTTGGTATAGATGTAAGGCAGGTGTTGAAAGCCGGACGACAATCCTACCGACTGCGCCACTGATACGTATGTGTTTAACATGAAATAATACGAACTGCCACGGCTAACCATATATTCAAGACCAACGAGGGCAACGAGCTGATATCGGTCCGTGATAAAAACACCAAAACATATAATATATCTCTCGAATTGATTATAGAACAGAGCTTAATCATTTAGGAAAATAAAATACCAGTTCATGTGAAACTTTTAAGGTTTACGATGTTTTTTGCATTTTCTAGTACTAGATTCTGAATGCCCATGAAAATACTCAATTTTTGTCCATTTGAACGTTACTGCAAGAACCATATCAACGAAGAAAGCTATTAGGTAAAATATAAACAACCAACCTGTTCATATTTATCTGATATTATGAGGATTTTTTCGACCTGAAGTCTTCACTACTTTGTGAAAGCTGACTAATCTACGTCAAGTGGTGACGAATCAAAAATGGTACTTACTCTATAGTTACGTCGACTTTCAATCTCTTGAATTCCAAGAGGATAGGTTTGGGAATCTCATCTTCATTCGGAATGTTCACTAATTTCTTGACCATTATCTTCATTTTGACTAAAAATATATTATTTTATATACAATTCTGATGTTTATCGAAATAATTTGATAGAAATTCGATAAAATATGGAACATAGGTATGATACATTTTTCTGTACGTGATTAAAATATCCGAACAAGCCCGAACTGAAAACGAATAAGAAATCACAAGAAGATTGCATAACCTTCTGGGTGAGAAACATAAACAATTAAATAGTTTCCATTATTTATATCAATCACAATCAACAAATGATATAACGGATACAGAGGAAACAGCGCATATACAGTGTCATTCATGAAGTTGACAACATATCGGAAAAACTTTTTCGATGAAGATTATAAATTGTTTTGAAATTCGACTTGGACCTTAAATTTTGCTTTAATGAAGATGAAAAATGACCTACACAGTCGAGGTCACGTGACATTCGCTGATTTTTTTCAAATTAATCGCTGAAAACAGTCTTATTTTAAACTTTCTGTTGCAACTTTTAATTCATTTCTTTGGTTTATTTTCAAATGAATCGCTGAAAACAGGCTCATTTGTTTGAACTTCAAAAAACGTTTACATAGAAGGGTGGTTTCAATTCATATTTTACACATGTACATTCATTCATGTATCTCAAATTTAAACTTCCTGTTGCAACTTTTAATTTAGTTCTTCGATTTATTTCAATTATTATTGTAACTTCGAAAAAACTGTCCTAAACTTCAGTTAGATGCGTACAGTAGTTTGATGATATTTTGACAGATGACTGTGCTCCTGAATGCTAGACGATATATCAACTTTGCATCAAAAAACAGAAATTTGAAGTAGCATTTCCTGAAGATAACATATTTTTGTCGATAATTAGTAATTGAAAGTTAGTAGTACGATAAAGCTACTGGTATGGAATGGTTTTGTCGGTGTTATTTTTTTTTAATGTCACATTTCGTAGCAATTGAAAAAATATCAAAACCGAAAGTCGCGCAAGAACGTTCAAATTAAAGACACATTCGTGAAAACAACTTTTCTTCGAAAACTTTTTTGAAATTCAAATAAGCATATTTATAGCAAATAATTTGAAAATGAATGTATCTTTTGACATGCAGAAAAAGTTAGGTAACCCCGACTGAGTAGGCCAGTTTTCATCTTTTTTGAAGCAATAATTAATTATTGTTTAAAGTTTTTTTCATATGATGCCAACTCTATGAATGACACTCTATGAATACTAGACCATGAATAAATAAACAGATAACAATGAGATTAAAACCTCAATAAAATTAGTTATTTATTATTTAAGATATTGAAAAGATATTACATTATATTAAAATCAGAAAATTATCGACGTGAAATTTGAAGATTTTAACAGTAGTGACGCCTGCGTTGCATGCATATTTATCATTCTTTTGAAGTAATCAAATATCTGTCAGTCTAATTCTGGTATTTGATTTCAAAAAAATTGCGAACTTTCCAAGTAACCGCGCGAAGTCGATTGGAAGATAAAAGGACTTGCAGTTCTTTCTACGAGACGGTGTTAATGGCTCATTTTTCCATACTAGCACAACAAAAGCCATCAACAGGGTGGGAAAGAAGTAATTTATGAAAAGTGACATTTTATGACCTGTCAACAGAGATAAAATGTCAAACTTTCTTCCCGTCCCGAATAATGAAAATGAAAAACAAAAATACCAAACAAATTAAAAAATTGAATATAAGATACAAACTGTTATAAGAGAGGTATATAAAAAATTGAATTTGACCTGAATCAGATAAAGTATTGTCCTTTTTTTGATTTATCTATATGTACATTAATTACTTATGTTGTAAAATTAATTTAAACAGAGCGTGCCGAAATATCATGCAATTCATCAGTGTATGTGATTAACTAAAGATTAATAATAATATAGGTAATTGTAATAATAAATAATTGTCAAAATATTTTTCAGTAGATTATGAAATGTTTCAACAGATCAGTATTTCAGTGTATGCGGAGAAAAAGTACTTGTCTTCTGAAATAGTAGGTATTTTGTTCGGAAATTAGAACGTAGAATTTCATTTTTTGTAGAGGTCGACGAAAAACAAATACAGGGTGTCCGGAAATTATGAGCAAAAAATCGAGTCGAGTCAAGTTGTTATGAACTTTATCACTAGCTAGAGTATGATTCATTGTTTACCGGACAACCTTTATACAAGGTGTTTCAAAAAAACCTAACCTCCTTGCTAGGGTAGGTAGAACATTGCAAAATAAGTTGGGTTTGCTCAGTGAAAAAATGTCGTAACGGCATCCGTTTTCATGATACAAGGTGTTGAAAAAATTATTTTTTTACACATTTTTCACGATTATTCCGAAACTACTGGCAACATTGTAATGAAATTTTGTATGGATGTTTCTTGAAATCTGACACATCGCATAAAGTTGTTTCTTATATCTGACTTTCATAGAGGGCGCTAGTTACACGGTTCGTACCGAGTAGTTTTGAACATAACTTTTTTGAGGTTAGATTTTTCAATCCAAATATGATATGAACTTGAACATCATTCAATTTTACACCAAAAAGGTACTCCAGGTGAAACGCGATACTATGTTCCGTATTCGGAATATTTCGATTTGAAAATGATGAAGTGGTAACTGTTGCTGGTATAAAGCTATGTATTAGAGTGAGTATTATGAAAAATTATCACTTATTTATTAAAAATCGAAAACAACAATACATTTCTAATGCAAAACTCATTGAGTTTCACCAAGAGTACCTTTTTGGTGTGAACTTAAATGATGTTCGAGTTCACTTCAAATTTGGATTGAAAAATCTAACCTCAAAAAAGTTATATTCAAAACTACTCGGTACGAACCGTGTAACTAGCGCCCTCTATGAGAGTCAGATATAAAAACAAAATGCATGCGATGTGTCAGATTCCAAGAAACATCCATACAAAATTTCATCACAATGTTGCCAGTAGTTTCAACATAATCGTAAAAAATGTGTAAAAAAAATATTGTTTCAACACCTTGTATCTTGAAAACGGATGGCGTTACGACATTTTTTTACTGAGCAAACCCAACTTATTTTGCAATGTTCTACCTACCCTAGCAAGAAAGTTAGGTTTTTTGAAACACCCTGTATGTGAAAAACACACTAATACCCTAAGATATAATTATTCCGTGGTCACACCGTTTTCCTTCCGAAATGGTTATAATAGAGAGTTGAAGTAATCACTGTACGTAGACCTCCACGTCGACGTTAACGTACGAAAAATAACGTTTACGTATTGTCTTTAAATTGAGTTGAAGTCGCCACTTTGGTCGTCACTGTCATCATAACGTAATAATACATTTTGTTTTCGGTTTGTATTGGTCATTTTTGGTTGTGTGTTTAGATTCGAACATTTATTCCTATCGAAATTAGAGGACTCCTTGATGCAGAACTCGTTGGTGATCTCGAATTTGATAATTTTGACACATCGGCATATTTCGAGTATAGTTTGGTTAACGTACGTTGATATTTAAGGTATACGTGAAGTAGAGTCACTGGATGGTATTAGTTTGATAAGAGTTCGGACACAGAAATGACAACAGTTAGGGTTTTTGAATGTTTAGATTTATAAAGTTACACACCTTGCATTGTGACAAGAACACCATAGTCGTCCCGCGCTTTTTCATTAAAAATTTTTTGAATTTGACAATTCATTTTATAAACGTCAGAATTGAAATAAAATTTCATAATTATTATACTTTCGAGATAAAAGCAGCTATGGAAATCACTTGCTGTGTAATGAATTGTGCCAATTCTGAAGAAAAGGATATCATTTATTCAATTTTCCAAAACAAATATCAATTACTCGCTCATGGAAGGAAGATATGAAACGGCCTGGGTGGAAAATCAATTTGAAGACGAGCGAAATTTGTGAGGTACTCATTGAAATTCACTTCTTATAACAGCATGTGATTAGAATGAATCTATATTTTAGGCCCATTTTCAGACAGAAGATTTCAAAATCTGTTTGAGAGAACCTGCTCTTCCATCAATTTACAAAGCAAACGATTTCAAGAACAAAATTCCATTATTATCATCACACAAAATACAAAACAAAATATTCATGGAAAAAGGGGAAATGATCGCAAAATTACATTATGAAATTGAAAATTCGAAAACGAAACTAAGAAAAGCAAGTAAACTACAACGTGATATATTATTGAATGGCGTTTTTGGTGCTGACCGCGAATTCAAAACTCAACAGTGAAAAGTTAATAGATATTTATGTATCAGGGGAATTATTATAAGGGACTTAATTACGCTGGAGGTTATCGTTTTGGAGATATTTTCTATATCGATCCATGTTACTTAGCTCCTAGGGCGCTAAGTGAAGTTGCTGAGAACTTAAGAAAACCAAGTATTTGTTAGGTCACGTCAAAATAAATAACTTTTTTCCCATGAAATCTTTATCGAAAAATGATTTGTTCTCTGTATTTCAACACCCTGTATCTCCGAAATGAAGCATTTCCAGACACAAGCTTATATAGACTTTATTTCTTAAAATCGTCTCAGGAATTCTTCACTGGAGTACAGTTCCACATACAATAAGAAATCATAGCTATAAGTTTATCCATATGTATATATTCTCTGATATTAAAATGTTGTTACATGCATTTTTTTCATTCATATAAATCTTGCTCTGCTAGAAGTGTATCACTATGAATTGAAGTAAGTGTTTGTACCCTATATCCATTGTCCATCTACGGCTATGATTGATTTGACAGAAAATATAACCTCTAAAATCGTATCTGACAATCGAGCGCTACTAGGGGAATTGAAAAGACAAAGAGCAGAATATATGTCTTATTCTTTTATTCACTTAAACCATTGTATTATAGAAAATAGAAAAGGACAAAAGTTCAGCTGTGTCCGAACTCTTATCAAACTAATACCATCCAGTGACTCTAACGTGAAGGAACGTGAGATAACGTACACCCGTAAGCCCACTAACAACGCAAACGTGAAGAATTGGAAAATGCGCATGCGTAGCTGTCAATTTCTACGTTTACGTTAACGTTCATGACAACACTTCAACTCTCTAATGAAACAATGTACTTACATGTCAGTTCGGCTCCCCTCTTTAACAGCCCGCTAGCATCCATATGAGCGGGTTGTTGTCCATAAGAATCCTGCATGCGGGCATCCTTATTGTGAACAATCTCGGCGATATCCAACACCCCTCTTCGCCACTGCTTGTCCTCAATACCCACAGGAACATCCCTATGGACCACCTGACGGTTCACTGCTGGCGCAGGTCTGTCCCTGTCCATTTGTCCCATTATTTTGGACAAAATATCGCCGGAGTTTCGTCCTACATTGCTTTTTTTGTTGGGTTTCCGTCTCACAGGGATATGCTCAGCTGGTAAACTATTTTGACTAGTACAAGGTTCCAGGGTTGACTTGAGTAGGTCCACGGGGTTGCTACTACCAGGGGGGATGAGGAAGTTCTGCACTACGGTTATTTTTTTATTTACAGGTGGTGCTTCTTGTAGTCCAGTTGTATCCTCCTTAACTTCTAGGTTAATCTTATCAATACCACTATTTTTAACATCACAGTTACTTTGAATGACTCTGACAGGGGCCTCTGTTCGGAACATCTTCATTTTTTGTTTCATCTGCCTCAGCACATTGGATTTCAGCCTCGACATAGCTTTGTTTTTGGGTCTTTTGATAGGGGGTGATTTTATTGGAGGGATGCTAGGCAGGGTTTGAGAAATATCAGTGCTGTCAACAGAATTTTTCACCGATACTGGATTACTGGCAATACTGGTTTCTGAGCAGATTTTCTTGGTGGTATTCTGAGCATCGTTTTCTGAGTCAGAGCTGTCGCTGATAAATTCCTTTGAAAGTATAGTGTGTCCGCTTCTACGGAGACATAATGGGGGATCAGGTGTTCCACAAGTTTCATTGATGTCATTGTTTTCATTCTCTGAGGAGTCTCGTTCCTTAGACTTTACTAATGCTTTAGACAACCTTGTAGATCTTCTAGTTTTTATGTTCGTTTTTCCTTCATCAGATTCCATTACTTTAGGTTGCAGCCTAGGTCTGCCTCTCTTTCTTTTAACAGGTTCAGGTCTATCAGCTTCTGTACCAATTATTTTTTCCATAGGATTAATTCTCGTGCCATTTTCTATTTGTGAAGCCTGAGGAGATTGTGGACTCTCCAGCTGATTCATATTTCCAAGATCAGTATCTTGCTTGCCAATGAGATTGTCGATTTCAACAACTTTTTCATCTTGTTCAGTTTTCTCTTGTCTGGTCCTTTCAAGGGGTATGATTTTAACATTTTCATTCTCGGAAAGTTGAGCATCTGAAGGTTCTGGAGATTCTGGACAATGAAGCAGGTCCTCAGGTTTAGGAATCTCAACTTGATCTTCTATTATGTTTTCTAGAGGTATTATTTTGGTAACATTTTCTATCTGTGAAGCCTGGGGAGACTGTGGACTATCCAGTTGATTCATATTTTCGAAATCAATACCTTCCTTGCCAATGAGATTGCCGACTGTAACAACTTTTTCATCTTGTTCAGTTTTCTCTCGTGTAGTCCTTTCAAGTGGTATAATTTTTATATTTTCATTCTCCGAAACTTGAGCATCTGAAGGTTCTGGAGATTCTGGACAATGAAGATGGTCATCCGGTTTAGGAATATCGACTCGCTCTTCAATTATTTTCTCTATAGATGATATTTTCATGACAGTGTCTATTCGTGAAGTCTGAGGGGTATTTGTATCGAATCTAATGGAAAGTGGAGATTGTGGACTATACAGATGATCCATATCCTTGGGCTCTACAAGTTTACCTTCAGGATTGACCTCTTGATGATCAATGCTATTTTTAAATTCAACAGATATTCCATGTTGCGAACTTTGCCAAATTTTAGAATCTAGATATTTTGATTCATTTTGATCATTTTTCTCTAAGGTGGTTCTTTCTAGAGGTATAATTCTTAAATCCTCACTATCGACCGAAAAAGCTGTGGAAGGTTCTGGCGATTGAGGACAATCAAGTTCAGAAATTTCTGGTAGCTCATCTATTTCTAACCCAACTATTTTTTCTGATGTAATAATTCTGGCTACATCTACTATCTGTGAAGCCTGAGGAGACTGTGGACTTTCTCCATCTTTGCAATCTCTCTCTATGCTTTCATCGAGATGGTACTGATCAAATACTTCTTCTTTTGAATCTACATCTTTTTTGTAAAAGAGATTTTTAACTGAGGCAGCTGTTTCTGTATGCCAAAGATTAGTATTTTGTCCAGTGTCTATGGTTCTTTCAAGTGGTATAATTTTGGTATATTTATTCTCTGAAAACTGAGCAACAGAAGATTCAGGAGATTGAGGCCAATCATCTAGTTCTTGATTTTGATTATATTCTGGAGAGGGTGTACAACTAGGTAATTTGTTGTCGTCACTATCATCATCTGATAAGTCTAATCCTAAAGATACATAATCTTCCGGTTTAGTTGAGATAACCTTGGAATCTAAAATGGTTTCTGTGGTACTAGGAGAGGCTGTTTCGCCTTCTTCCACAAACAGTTTTCTGCCAGTATTCTGCTGTTTGGAAGTCAAAGGACTACTGGTATCCCTGAAGCTTCTGCTCAAGTCGAAATTGCTTATAAATTTGCCAACTTCTGCAGACATTTGACTTTCGTTCATGAGGAATTTGTTTATGACGGTATCTGAATTAGGAGTAATCTCAACATCGCTCACTAAATCACGTTTCATTTGTGGTTCTTTTTCCGTGTCAATACTCGACATGTCTAAACTGTTTACTTTAGAATCTATTAATTCAGTTTTTGGTTCACTGTTAGTCGCATTCACTTCAGATTTAACACTGCATATAGATGCATTTTTTAGTTTAACAATTCCGCTGACGAGACTTTCTAATGAAACATTTTCTATTTCATTTTCATTGTTGGTTTTAACCACCATTTTTGTAGTAGAAAAACTAGTTTCTAAATTTTCGAGTGATTCTATACTAGTGCTTTTTCCTCTGAGTGGATAAAGATGCAGATAATTATTCACTGCTGCACTATAATTACTATCTATATTTTTTTGTTGCGAACTTGTGTATTGTGTAGGGAAAAATCTTTTATCCATGGTTCTTTCAAGTTTTATTGGTGAGAATAAGCTACTAAATTTACTCTTCACCAAGCTTGATGGACTTTTGAACTCAATTTTCCTGCTTATTCCTTTTTGATCAGCCAAATCTGTGTTCCTCATAGGTGATTGAAAACTTGCAGCTTGAGAAGTTATGGTTTTAGGGCTGTCAGTAACTGTACAAGTACTTAGAGGGCTTATAAGATCAGGAGGAATAGAGAATTTGAATGAATCACAGCTGTCCACATTTTCTACCATAACTTGTGATTTTCCTTCAGGAGTTTGTTGTCTCATTCGTTCGTCAATTTCAGGCGATTTAATTTCCTCATCGAATTTGTCGTCAGTTTGTGAACTCACATTCTTAATGTCGTTTTCTTCCAAACTAGTGGCAGAAGTTGACTGCCTATCCCGATCGTATTTAGCTTTCTTCAGCAGCATTTTGTTCCTCTCCAGAATGTTTTTAGGATCTGGGAAAAGCCTATCGATCTCCGTTTCAGTTTCAGAATAAAAATCCGAGTTTTCAGAAGGGCTGCTTCTCTTCCTTTTAGCCACACTGTCATCCCTCAGTTTCTGACTCACCAACTCGGCTAGCGTGTCCAAAAGATTTTCAGGGGTTATTTCTTTCTTCAAGGATTCGTTCAGCCATTTCAGAGGATTTTCCGGCTTGTCTTCTGTCACTGCATCCATCCTGGATTCGAGAGGAGAAGCTAGTTCGTTTTTCACCTTGAAAAATCCGTGCAAGCACGGATCCCTAGATTTTCCGCTGAGAAGCATGTACATTTTATTGCAATAACAGGAGGGACAACCCAGTTTTTCCACTGACTGTTTTTCCGTTGTTTGGGGGTGTTTTGGGATTAGGACAGGTGGGGGTGAATAATTTGAAGGTTCATGGCAATGTTTATTCAACCAGCGCTGTTCCTGCCAATGTAAAGGTAGGGTGGATTCATTGGAAATGGTGAAGTTGATTTTTGAACGTTTCAGGACCTGCAAAGCTCTGAGAACGCTATCTTGGGTTTTCAACTTCCTCAACGTGAATCCCCTTTTGAATAAATATCTCTTGTTCAATAGCACAGCTTGTTTCAATAATTTCTGTTGTTTGATGGAATTGTTGTTGCCCCTGATAGGTGGTCTATATCTTCTTTTCCTGAATGGGTTTTTGATAACTGTTGCAGGTTTGACTTTTTCTGAATATTTGACCTGTTTAATAGATGGTATTCTTTCTTCAGCTACTAGCAGTTTGGAACTGTTGCTAAGATTTGGAACATTCTTATCATCATAATTGTTTTGGATATCACTTTCTAATGAAACCTTATTATCTAACCCATCTGAAGCTATGTTCTGTTCTCCTGGATTTTTTCCACCGTTACTTAAATCCAGAACAATTTTAATGTCATCATTAATTTGAATTGCATTTTTTTCACTATCTGATGAAACATTTCCGAATCTATCTGTATTATTTTCTTTGATGCCATCATTGTTTTGAATCAGATTTTTATCACTGTCTGACAAAACAATATCTGTAGTAATTATTTCTTTAGGAACTAAATTGTTTTTACTGTTGCTGAGATCCAGAACACTAGACAGGTCTGTAACCAGATTGTCTTCTATAGCTAGATCTTGAGGAACAATAACTGTTTTCTCTTGTTCCACAGCATCTGCTACTGGAAATTCTACAACTGCCAACTGATTTTCTTTGAGTAGAGGAACTAAATTGTTTCTAATGTTGCTCAGATCCAGAACACCAGACATGTCTATAACTAGATTTTCTTCTGTAGCTAGATCTTGAGGTACAATAGCTGTAATCTCTTGATCCACAGCATTTGTTATTGATAATTCTGCAACTGCCAACTGATTTTCTTCAAGAGGAGGAACTGAATTGTTCCTAAAGTTGCTCAGATCCAGAACACTAGACAGGTCTGTAACTAGATTTTCTTCTGTATCTAGATCTTGAGGTACTATATCTGTAATCTCTTGATCCACATCATCTGCTATTGAAGATTCTGCAACTGCCAACTGATTTTCTTCACGAGGAGGAAGTGAATTGTTCCTCAAGTTGCTCAGATCCAGAACACTAGACAGGTCTGTAACTAGATTTTCTTCTGTATCTAGATCTTGAGGTACTATATCTGTAATCTCTTGATCTACATCATCTGCTATTGAAAATTCTGCAACAGCCAACTGATTGTCTTTGAGTGGAGGAACTAAATTGTTCCTAATGTTGCTCAGATCCAGACCACTAGACAGGTCTGTAACTAGATTTTCTTCTGTATCTAGATCTTGAGGTACTATATCTGTAATCTCTTGATCCACATCATCTGCTATTGAAAATTCTGCAACTGCCAACTGATTGTCTTTGAGTGGAGGAACTAAATTGTTCCTAATGTTGCTCAGATCCAGACCACTAGACTGGTCTGTAACTAGATTTTCTTCTGTATCTAGATCTCGAGGTACTATATCTGTAATCTCTTGATCCACGTCATCTGCTATTGAAGATTCTGCAACTGCCAACTGATTGTCTTTGAGTGGAGGAACTAAATTGTGCCTAATGTTGCTCAGATCCAGACCACTAGACTGGTCTGTAACTAGATTTTCTTCTGTATCTAGATCTCGAGGTACTATATCTGTAATCTCTTGATCCACATCATCTGCTATTGAAAATTCTGCAACTGCCAACTGATTGTCTTTGAGTGGAGGAACTAAATTGTTCCTAATGTCGCTCAGATCCAGACCACTAGACTGGTCTGTAACTAGATTTTCTTCTGTATCTAGAACTTGAGGTACTATATCTGTAATCTCTTGATCCACGTCATCTGCTATTGAAGATTCTGCAACTGCCAACTGATTGTCTTTGAGTGGAGGAACTAAATTGTTCCTAATGTTGCTCAGATCCAGACCACTAGACTGGTCTGAAACTAGATTTTCTTCTGTAGCTAAATCTTGACGTACTATATCTGTAATCTCTTGATCCACATTATCTGCAACTGCCAACTGATTTTCTTCAAGTGGAGGAACTGAATTGTTCCTAATGTTGTTCAGATCCAGAACACTAGACTGGTCTGCAACAATATTTTCTTCTGTAGCTAGATCTTGGGGTGCTATATCTGTGGACTCTAGATCCACAGCATCTGCTATTGGAAATTCTGCAAATGACATCTGATTTTCTTCCAGTGGAGTTGAAGGGGTGATGATGATATCCGGTATCCTAGGTGAAAATTTAGGCACTGGCTCTGAAATATCATCCAAAATCAAGCTTTCCCGTGATTGACATCTCATCGGAGATAGCATTTGGGGGACAAATAGCATTTCTTTCAGGATATCATCAACAGCGTCATCAGTTAAGACTGTTTCTTCTGTTAGTGCTTCGGTTTGAGTAAATGAGCATATCATGATTTTGTTTTCGTTGATTATTTCGGGGCAACTGCATTTCTTTGGTTCTGTTTCTGGTGTTGAAGGTGTTTGTGATTCAGCATGTGAAGTGTGTACTTTTGTGGTAAGATCTTTATACAAGAGATCTTTGTTGAGTTTTTTGTTCTGCTCTTGCAGATTTTTTATTTGCTCTTGGAGTTCCCTGAGAGCTAACACTTCAGCCTTCAATTTGCTGATTTCAAAGTCTTTGTCTTTGATTGTATTGTGTTGGCGTTTCTCAGAATCCATCTGTAAATACGTTTTTGGAAAATATTAGCTAAGTGAGGCTAGTCGCACTTCGTCAATGGAAATATTGACAGCTTTCCATACATCAAGTGTGATTACACATTAAAACTTCAATTACATTAAAAAATTGAAGTAGAATCAAAAATAAATAAGATCGATTATGGTCATGATAAAAGAACTCCTCAAATTTTTACCAGGGTCACATTGAATTTCAATAAAATTTTGGTTTTAGAGAATGTTAAGGTGATGGGAGGAATACATGACAATATGCATGTTTATATTTTAGAATACGCTCTCTTCATTTAAAATATTTTCAGCAATGCAGTGTTGCCGCTTCTATCAAAAAGTAGCAACAACTTTGTTATTTTAAATAGAATACCCTGTAGTTTATTGCATTTTTAGATTCTCCCTGAAGAGCTGATTTCATCGATAAATCAGACTTGGGGTCCATCGGAAATGATTACGGGGATATAGGGTGTTCAAAATCGAGATTTTTCAACTTTAGGATTTGTTTGTGTCGAAACTTTTTATTATCGGCCAAAACGCTGATATTGCTGATATTTAATCGGAATAGATACAGGGTGATCAGAATTCTGAATCTTCGACCACCCTCTATCTGTTCTGATTAAATATCGGTAAATAACAATTCAAAAGTTGAGTTAGGGAGATGTGAGCCGTTTTGACCGATAATGAATAGTTTTGACACAAAAAATCCTAAAATTGAAAAATCTCGATTTTGAACATCCTATATCTCTGTAATCTTGTTCGATAGACCCCAAGTGTGACACATCAATAAAATCAGCTCTTCAGGGAGAATCTAAAAATGCGATAAAACACAGGGTGTTTCATTCGAAGTATCAATGTTGCTACTACTTTCTAGTAGAAGCGGCAACACTGCATTGTCGAAAATATTTCAAATGGAGAGAGAGTATTTTAAAATATAAGCGTGCACATTTTCACGGATTCCTTCCGACTGATTCCCCATATAAAGATAGTGTAAGCTTGTTGTGGTATACCCTGTATTCCTAATGTGATTTTATATCCAGATATAAAATTCATTGGTTCCTCTGAAAAGGACATCAACTTTGATTGACAATGAAACACCCTATATATTTTCTGACATGATGTTAGCGCCCTTTTTTCCGATTTCAAAAATATACATGGAGCTTAAACAATATACAGGGTGTTTGGTTCACCGACGTATATCTGAAAGGGGGTGATAGTTGAGAACATTTCGAACATATTTTACCATAGCTTTACAATAGGATACCCGATGAAATCAAACGAAATGAGCTGCCGTCATTCAAAAGGAAACTCAAAAATATACTTTCAACAGATGCCACTAATTTTTGAATTCATAATAAAAATATTGTATTATATAATATCATACCAGTGTTCATTTGGATGTCAAAATCCTTTCTCCTTTTTTTTTTTTTTTCTTCTAGTACACCTCATTAAGTTTTTATAATATTATTATAATATCATGGTGATACTGTAGGTTGAGTGGAAGAGAATGCTTACTCGGACTACCCATGTATACGTGTAAGCGTTAACTCTGCCTTTTGACTGCATTCTTTCTATATTATGGGCAACTGCCTATTTATACAATTGTAATATTGAGTATATACATTGCAGTTAATAAAAGCATATATTATTATTATTATTATTATTATATATATACTATTATACAAAGTGTTTCAAATTTCGAGGTATCATCGTTCTTTCATTCATTCAACATTTTTTCTGATTAAATCTCTTTTTTCTTAGAAAGTTGAATACGCATTTCATCGATATTGTACACGAAATGGGATCTAATGTGATAAAAACATTTTTTGGCTCGTTAGAATTCAAAAAGCGATTATTGTTACATCCAATTTTGAATTTATAAGCTATGATTTCTCGAAAAGTGTAACACTGTATACTAGTATACAGTGTGTCCCACTTAGAATGCTCACCATGGGTATCTTTTAAACGGTGAGAGATACGAGGTCGGTTAAATGACACCAAATGTGGAGTTTGTCAGGGCCAACTATAATGTGAAAAAATATTTTGATAAAATCTATTCGTTTTTGTTTTATACGCAAAAAACAGATTTTGATTATTTTCATGTCTCCTCCGTAACTTCTTTATTAATGAAAATATTCAAATAGGAATTTCACATTCTCATGACAGTTTTTCAAAGTGATTTCGAAAAAAATATGAAATTTATACCAACTCTTCTAGAATTTGAGATATCAGCACCAATTTTGGTTTTTCAAATGTAGGTCATAGCTCACTATGACTTAGTTACAAATAATTTTTTTTTCTCTTTCAGATGATATGTCGCAGTAATAGTTTTGTGTCGATAACAACGGAGTTATCGTCATTTACACAAAAACAAAAAATTATTTGGAAGCCGCCATCTTGAATTTATAAATTTTATCAAAAAAATCATCTCCGACCTCAAAAACCCTCACTTACCAGTTTTGAATGGAATCGGACCAAATCTTGTCCGCCATCTTGGTGCAGCCATTTTTTTCAATTTCAACAAAAATTCCATGACTCCGATTAACTTGAAATTCGGCAGGTGCTCATAATTTCGGTGACAATACATTATGGACTTTTTGTTGAAATTAAAAAAAAATGCTGCTTCAAGATGGCGGACAAGATTTGGTTCGATTCCATTCAAAATTGGTAAGTGGGTGTTTTTGAGGTCGGAGATCATGATTTTTTTGATAAAATTTATAAATTCAAGATGGCGGCTTCCAAATAATTTTTTGTTTTTGTGTAAATGACGATAACTCCGTTGTTATCGACACAAAACTATTACTGCGACATATCATCTGAAAGAGAAAAAAAAGTTATTTGTAACTAAGTCATAGTGAGCTATGACCTACATTTGAAAAACTAAAGTTGGTGCTGATATCTCAAATTCTAGGAGAGTTGGTATAAATTTCATTTTTCGAAATCACTTTGAAAAACTGCCATGAGAATGTAAAATTCCTATTCGAATATTTTCATAAATAAAGAAGTTACGGAGGAGACATGAAAATGATCAAAATCTGTTTTTTGCGTATAAAACAAAAACGAATAGATTTTATCAAAATATTTTTTCACATTATAGTTGGCCTTGACAAACTCCACATTTGGTGTCATTTAACCGACCTCGTATCTCTCACCGTTTAAAAGATACCGATGGTGAGCATGGTAAGTGGGACACCCTGTATATGGTCAAATTTGTTCAAAATCACATAACCTACCACCTCCTTCCGTATATACGTCGGTGAACCAAACACCCTGTATAAACATCATTTCAAAGCCCACCATGTCCAACTTACATTAGATGATATGAAGTGAAGGATCATAAAGCAGTATTTTGGTAAATTGATCATCAATAACTCAACTATTTTTCATCCAAGTATGCAACTCATATACAGAGAAGTGCACAAAAAACGACCAGGACTGTAACTTTTGAATTATTCGAGATAGGGTTTTGAAAATTGGTGGGTAGCAAGTATACCAAATCGCTCATTAATTGATAAAACAATTTTTCACCGGAAACGACCCCAACTTTTGATTTTTAAATGGGACATCCTGTATAATAATCGGTTAGGGATTGTCATTACGAATTCATCGATACCGGGTTTGATAGGGTTATTTCAAACGATTACAAAGATATTCGCGTTCTAAGTATCCATACGCTAAATGGGTGTGACTTCGCAATATCAAAACTTCTTTCTCTGTCACACTCATTGAACATATGGAAAGTTAGAACGCGAATATCTGCGTACTCGCTTGAAATAACCCTATCAAACCCGGTATCGATGAATTCGTTATGACAATCCCTAACTGATTATGGAATACAATACAGGGGTGTCCCATTCGAAAATAAAAAGTTGGGGTAGTGTCCAGTGAAACCGGAAGTGATAGAACAAAAATTGTTACAGTCCTATCCGTTTTTAGTGCACTTCTCTGTTATACAGGGTAATTCAAAATTCGACGTAAATATTTCAAGTATATATTGTTGAGATCAAAATAAGACTTTTTCTTTATATAGATATGAGTCCTAAAATCCACCCTTTTTGACCTACAGCCACTGTAAAGTTAAGTGAAAAAAAAAGATTATCTAAAATTGTGACTAAAATAACGGATCAAATCTTCTGAAAATTGGCATGCCCGTCCTTTTAGACACTTCATTTTGTTCTTGCTTAAAAAATTATGAAAACCCAGGTTTGGGGGAGAATGGAGGTGGTGGGTCCTCACTTTTATTGGCTAGATGGGATACATTTTAGGACACATGTTTATATGAAGAAAGTCTTATTTTTATCCCAACAATGAGTCCTTAAAATATTTACATCGAATTTTGAATCACCCTGTATTTTTTAAATGTCGGAAAATATAAAAATCAAAGTTCATGTCCTTTCCGGAAAATCGAATGACCCTGTGTATTAAACAATTTCAGGAAATGAAAGTTGGGGTCGTTTCAATAATCTTTTTCATTCAACATATTATTTCATATCTCTGAAACCAATAGAGTTAAGGGGGGGTCCGTTTTAAGAGGCACACCCTGTACTTATCTACTAATATTAAAGTCAATTGTTTGGCTATTTTCTGCAATACCAGAAGATACAAAAACATTCAGAAAATAAAATTTGCCAATTTATGAATTCACATCTACAAATGGCTCTGCTATTAATTGGACCATTCTTGCCAAATTTGGACTGGTATAAATACCTATTGATATGATCAGTTTTTCAGAGACAAACATCATTTTGGACAGTGCCGTGCATTTTTATAGAAATAAAAAGGGGTCGATGTTTCATGAAAGCATATTAGGAATTTTGTTATGGGAAAACTTACCTCATAATATTGTTCTCACTGGTCTTGAAGCCACTTATGTGAATTTTCATGTAATTTCTATGGAGGCTTTAGAAAAAACAAGCACATCTAAACAGCATTTTTGCAAAGGTAAATAATTATTTACTGGGGAACGGTGAGTTCAACAAAAAAATATAATGTCTTGT